CTATAGGGCTAGTCTTGGCATTGATTTCGCTCCTTTGCCGTTTTCGTCTATATGCCTATTGCCGTTTTGGTCTGTTGCGTTTTGGTTATCATTGTCATTTTGGTTCATTGCCGTTTTGGTTTATTGACGTTTTAACCTGCTACCATTTGATAGTCTCGGCATCACAGACACGGCCGCACATGCAAATACCATTGCAATGGTTCCTAAATTATACAGTTATTCAGGTAAATTGCAAACACAGAAAGCGTGGATGGATGGATTATTTTTCAAAGATTAATGTATGCTTTATGCTAATACTGACTAAGAGTTTCAACCAGACATTTTACAATAATTTGGTCTCTACATAGAAGGTATGCCACAAATGAAAAACAAATGAAAAAAAAAATGATGGTTTCAAGTTGCCACATGCTCCCATTTGGAGCCTTTATGAAGGGAGATCTTTAGTCCAGCAGGTGGTTTTGAGTACTCGAACTTTACTATTGTATATCAACAGAGGGCGCTGTTCAATGTTATCAAACTTCATTCAGAGTGTGTCTGGCAAAATAAAGGCAGGAAATGACAGCTGTATTTTTTTTTTTTTTGAAAACTGTAAACTATTATCCTCCAGCAGGCATATGAAGCTTCTGGCTTTCCGCTGTTGTCCAAGTCACCATGGCGTTTTGGGCAATGTTAAGCCGCCTAGCCAGGGGTGTTTTTCTTAAATATGAAACGCTAATACTGATAGCGCTTTTAGTTTTTGTCTACCGGTATATCCTGAACGGCGACCACGTACGTATGGTTATTGATCGGGCAAAACGCTTTTCTACCGTGCAAAGGGGTTTCGATCGTCTTCCGGCTACTCACCACGGGCCTAGCCCAAACATCTCTTACTTAGAAAAACTCGTATTTGGATCAGATAGACAGACAATTCAGTGGGAGTTAAAAGAAGATAATATTGGTATTTATTCAATCCAAGGGCGCAGACCACACATGGAAGATCGTTATGATTATGCAGATGATTCTGGGAAATCTGGTGTGATGTTTTATGGAGTCTACGATGGTCATGGAGGAACGGTTTGTATAATTATATAATTAAACCAAAAGTATGATTTACAAATAATAAATATGAAAAAAGTATTTCGAATACTTTTTTCTAAACATCTTTATTAAAATTCCATAGCTTGATAACGGTTATCACAGTTTGTGTAAATAGACCTGTTTTGGATCTCGATAAAAGTGGTTGATAATTTATTTAAAGTGTAATGAATAATTTACTGAGATATAAATACTACAAACAAGAGCAGACTGATCTTTACGGTGTGCTTCAGTAAGAGTTCGGCTCTGGCGATACACGTAACATAGGTGGGAGTTCATGACGCAGAGATTTTAAGATTTAAAATTGTAAAAGTGTGCATGTTCTGCACAGTTTTACAACTCTACAAATTAACAAAAATGCATGCAAACATAAACTATAAAGCATTTCAGAATATCACTATCTTGCTTTTCAGCCCCAGGGTAATGGGTCAGATCTCTGGATCCGCCAGATTTTTCCTCATCTTCAGCTCCAGGTGTTCAAAGTCTCACGGATATCAAGTCTCCCGGCCCCTCCGTCGCGGAAAAAAACCACAATTTGCCGGGGAGAAAAACATATTTATTTTATACATATTACAGTTAGTAGACTCTAAAATCGATTAAATAAGCCTTTGAAACCCCTATATTGTCAACATTTTCGGGGGCCTCACACCCTGGACCACTTTTGTAACATTTAAGCAAAGTTCGACCACGCCCACTTTGCTCTAGTCGGGGAAATCTTCCCCCCTGTCTAGGGCATCGGATCTCCCGACGGGGACCTTGAGGCTCCCCCCCCCCATCGTGGAAATCCTGGCAATACCCCTGTTGCCTGACAAGCATGAAGCTACTGTAGGTACGGTATTATTCCCTGGATAGACTTCCAATAAGCACTGGTATAATATGGTTGATGTAAAAGTCTACAGCAGTTCCCAAGGTGTTGGATGGTTTAGGACCCCGTTCCACGACCAAATCCATCGAACCCGAAGTCAATAAAACGTCTGTTGTTTTATACGGCAGAGGAATAGCAGGATAAACAATCCACTTGATTCTTTTGTGAATTGATTAAGATAAATCTCCCACAAAATCACTATGTAAAGCCCAAAAAATAAAATAAAAAAACCACTTTGAATTACTCATTTAACAAAACTATGTAAGTTATCAAATTTTTCAGTTATAAAAATTAATGATCTACAGACATTTTAAATTCCAGTGCTGCCAGAGATTTATGGGTTATGCAAAGACACAGACACATTAAATTTAAAAATGTTTTCTCATTATAATTTGCAGCTGAAAGCCTATCACATTGAAATGAACAAAACTAGTATTTTAAAGTTGTCATACTGTACCTGAAGTAATGTTGTGATAGTATATTTTTCACATGAAACTGTGATAACGCACGCATAACAAAAGTAAACTGACACTTTCGTTTACTGTAATTAAATTTCATTTGTTTTCGTTCGTGTTAAGTAAAGTTTTCACGATCAGAAGAATTTATGCGACCCATCAACTTTTTTTTTCGTGATCCAAACATTGCGTCGTGACACATAGCTTGCGGAATGGTGGTTTAGGACATGAATTTATTCTCAATTGATATTGTTTTTTATTAAAATTTTTAAAATTTCATTTGTGGTGGAAAATTTCTTTGTACATAAATGATTATTCATAGAATGGATTTTCTTTTATGGCAGTGGTTATTACACCAGTCCTAAACAAATATGTGACTGAATGTTATTGTATAATACAGGCTGTTTGGATTGGATTAGAACAATATTCATCCAGTCAGAATTAGAAATTTTTTAAGACTGGAGCCACTGCCTTTATAAATACAGTATTCCTATTGTACAGCACTGCAAATAATTAATAATAATAATAATAATGATAAATTAATTAACAAATTATATCAAACATAATTTATTTTACTAACTTATGGTATCATCACTTTAGTTTGCCTCAGAATTTGCTGAAAAACTCCTGTCTCAAACGGTATTAGCAAGATTAAATCGGTCAAAGTACAGCCACGCTACTGTCAACTATTCACAAGTTCTGATCGAAGAAATTTTATCGTTAGATGAAAAGTTATTAACAGTTGCAAAGTCTAACAAGGATGTAGCAGGTATATTTGTTTTTGTAATTTTTTCTCAGGGGCAGATCCAGGGAGAACGAGTTTCACAGAGTAGTGCCAAGTCAAGAGAACTACAGTAACTTTAGTGGGATACAGCAATCAGAAAGGGATAGTTGGGTTGGTAGCCTTGGTTCCAGGACCTAATTCTCAATTACTCATTCTTTTTTTAGCTTAGTGTGCGGCATATCTAATTTAATTGGCATCCCATACTCGCTTCCATCTCTAAATTAACTTTCACGTTGGTGGCGCTGTCCAGAATGAGAGAAAAAACAATAATAATGGACTTGAGGCAAGTCTAGTGGGTTAGCAGAATCTCCTAAAAGAATGATGCTGAATGGATGAACAGAAATGCATGTTCCTGTGTAACAAAATATTGTTTCAACATTTGGTGGTATTTGTTACCCATATTGTATTTAAAATGGGAAATTTTTGCATCGTTGCTTTTTGTCTGTTTTTTTCCTACTACTGTACTAGTATGAAAATTTAAAAGAGAAAGAAAAATTAAGAAAAGAATGAAATGAAAAAATATTATAAATACAGAAAAAGGTCAATTCAACTTATCAATATTATGTATGAAAAATTAAGAAATTCCTTGAATCAATGGGCCTTTTAAGAAACTGAACATTTAATAGGATATTTGAGGCCTATTTCAAAGACGCAAGACACAAATTAAGGCAGTAGACCTAGGCCGAGCCTACATCGATTTGTAAGCCTAGGTAAAATCATCAAATGATTTTACTTGTCCGCACCGACCACAACGTGATTAGGCTCTACTATATTCTCCCATCCTTGAAGAAATTTTTATTTCTTTGATGAATGTAAATAGTAAAACTCATGACAAGTTCTTCAAACACAATCAAATATTTATTCATTGTACTTCTGGGTAATTAAACGTACATATTTAACTGCACTGCTGTGCTAGCGCTTTACAAACACAATCTGCATGCAATGTAATACATGCACAGATAGACTGATCATACACTATAGCAACCAATGTAAACAACAGTTTACACATACGAAAAAAAAAAATTACAATAAAAAAATTGCTCATTTTTCACTAAGAGGAAATTAGTAATATTAAATTTAGATTAAATTAATGCATTCAAAAATTTCTTTCTGGTCTAGCAGGAACTCAGGAATTTGTTTTTTACATAATCATTTTCCAAAGTGTATGATATGCAACAATTCTAAATGCTTATTATCTATCATTATCATCTAGTAATATTGTCATCGTGAATCCCATTATATTTCCTATCTAGTTGCTGCTGTACATTATCATGTTTAGTCTTAGCATTAATAATCACTGTACGATTATTTACTAGGTTCAACAGCTATTGTAGCAATCCTATCTGAGGGAGAGTTGACCGTCGCTAATGTGGGAGATTCACGTGGGGTTATATGTGATGAACATGGTAGTGCAATACCTATGTCATATGACCACAAGCCGCAGTTGCTGCAGGAACGTAGGCGGATCAAAAAAGCTGGCGGTTTCATATCGTTCAATGGCGTGTGGCGTGTTGTTGGAATTCTCGCTACATCCAGAGCTCTTGGCGATTTCCCGCTGAAGGAACACAAGTACATTGTTGCTGATCCTGATATCCAGACTTTCAATTTAAACTCTGTTAAACCACAGTTCATGATTCTCGCCACTGATGGATTGTGGGATATGTTTACAAATGAGGAAGCAGTGCAATTTGTTAAGGACCGACTGGATGAGCCTCATCTAGGTGCAAAGAGTCTGGTCTTACAAGCCTATTATCGTGGTTCTTTTGATAATATAACTGTCATGGTGGTAAGGCTTGGTGAAAAGAATGGAGTTAAAGTAAAGAATCAGTGAGCACTGTATTAATTGTAATACATTTGACCAATTGGGAGAAATGATTATATCATGTGTACCATTTAACAGGGTCATCGAAGGGAGATGTTTGGATATAATTTAATATTCAAAGTTAAGTTTTTTTTTTTATGTCGAATCAACCAATTATGTAGAAGGTACAGTATTAGTTAAGAAGATATTAATGTCAGATTTATATGGACCAAAAGCTATATCTTTGCAATTGTTGTTTGTTTATAAACCAGTGAATCTATTTTATGTGCTTTAGTAGGCCTGTTTTGGACCAGAAATCAAGCCTAGTTCTGCGTTGTTATGTGCTTAATTTAACAAGTTAATTTTAAATAATTAAAATCACCTCTTATTGCTTCAAATGCAAATGCAAGTATCCCAATGCAAGCTCTTCTGTGAGTGTTCCACCATTGTCTTCCCCCATACAAAAAGATAAGCAGCTGTCTGCGCAAAGGTAAAACATGTTTGATAGCAGTGTGATTGGTTAAAAGTTGAGAATACAAACATTTTCTCACACTGTAGTTGGCTCGACCCAACTTTTGACATTTGCATTGACAGTACACACTTTTGGAGAAAGTAAATGTGTAGGATCCGCAGTGATATCACTTACAGCTTGAGTATTCTGGGGAAAGCCAGGAAATTTTGGTAGTACAGTATGACCAGCAGTGAGATCATATTGAGAAAATTACTAAAAATAGGTCAGACTCAAGAGTCATTAATATAAATGAAATTTTGGGGCTCAAATTTGATACTACTATATTTTATCAATACGTTTTGAGCCAATTCTCTAAAAAGTGTTCTTTGTGCAGATTTTTGTGCTTCCATCCTAAATATTTGTGTAGGTTTCCATGCTTAAAATTAATCCTCACATCTCTTGATCCACTTAATATCAAAAATTGTATTTTTTAAAGACTAAATTAAAGCTTTAATGTGATCTATTCAGATATACTATAAACTCATTTCATTTTTCCCAATTGTGCAATTCATTTCGTGGTGAGACCTTACCAAATCCGAAATAAAGGTACCAGTATAGATAAATTATTAAATTAGTATAAAGATGGATTGATTGTTAAATGAATAACTGCATAAAATATATAAATAAATAAATAACTACATACGTCTTCAAAGAAATTAATCATTTTGTTGATACCTATTTTACTATTTTCAAGTACAATTGCCACATTATAGAGAAGGATGTAATTTTTTTTTGAGGTTTTTTTTCTTTTTGCTGTTTTTTATGTATTTTTTTTTGTTTTTTTTGCTATGTACATTATGGTTCATAATGCTGTAAGTGCTTATTTTAAAGACTTAGTGCTTATTATGTATTCATATCAAGTATTAATTATTATTACTATTAATATTATTATATATTATTAGTGTATTATTATTATTACTATCTACTATAATATTTTTATTTATCTTCTAGAGTTGTTTTAAGGATAATTAGTGCCTTTACAAGTTTAGCTTATACTGTTATAATATCCATTCAAAAGAGGGTCTTCTAATTTGCTCTATATTTTATATTATTCTCATAGTTAGCTTGTTATTTTTGTATGTGTTGTCATATTCGATACAACTGTGGAAGCTTTTTCATTAGTGATTGTAGAAGATGAAGATTGATTATACCTGAGAAATGCCACCATACATGACGTTCGTCAAAATGAAATGTGTTTCACAGCATTGCAATATACAGTACTTAAATGATTATTTTGCATTGGGAGAATAATTCAACATCAAGTGAAATGATGTTAAAGATATACTGTCTATAGTAAAATTAGGAAATAAAATAGTACAAAATTAATTTAAAACATTCAATTCTCATTGAAAATAAGTAAATTTAAAGTTACCAACTTTTAAATGAGTAACAGACTAAATGATTGATTTTTTGCTGCAGAAGTCCTTTACAAATAATGTTAACCAATGATCTATGCAAAATATAGTAATGGTTCTGATAACTGAAGAGAAAAACATTCATTCATTCTTAATTTTCAATTGCAAATTTCACTTAAATATTTACAAAATAATTTTTTTTATAGCCCAACACAAACAGTATGTCTTTTAAAGTTCTGGAAAAATGTCTTCTTTCATGATCATTTCTGTATTTTTTTCAGTCATTATATAAGATTTTGTTTTCCTTATTTTACCTCATTTTTCAAGTCAAAAGTGCAATCAAATTCTAGACACTTCTTGCTTGGCTATTAATAGTGCATTTTAGTTTAAGTAAAGCCTAAACCTCCCAAAAAGTGCCATCTTGCACAAATTCATTATACTGTACTTGAGTGGTGTATTTTCTCCTGGATGTGAGCTTGTGATGAGTATAAGTTAAAGTTGCCTAAGTCAATTTTGCCTAACTCGCATAATTTCTAAGTCAAACTTATTTTACATGCCAAATTGTTAATTGTGTTTTCCATTAATAAACAATCGGTAAGTCAAATTTTATCCAAGTCGAACAATTTATCAATGGCATTTTGGATCGACTTAGGCAAGTTCAACTTTCACCATGTGCAGCAAAATAAAGTTAGATGTGTTAGCTCACAAAAACGAGATTTCACAATCTTCCTACTTGGAACCCCTGGAATACTCCTATTAGCATGTACTTTTACAGTGCATTAAAATTGAAGCATTGTGGCCAGTAGTTTTTTTAATGAGTGATATCATTTTTAAGTACTGTACAGTACATGCAAGCAATGCTGATCCTATTTGGTATGTTGGACCCTTAACTACAGTAGGTTGGCCAATTGATTTGATTGGAGTATGCAAGAGTTGTATTAAACTGCATAGTCAATTGTATAACATTTGTGGCAAAGACAAGCCAAACCAGTCACTCGTCACAAATTATGTTTCAGAGATAGTGGCCAAAACATTGCACTAAACTAACCTTTATATATCTACTGTATATATCATGCTATGCTGTTATTTTCCCCATTTTCAATGTTAAAATAGCAATTTTTAATGATTTGGTGATAGTTTCTGCCCGAAATTATAAACTATGAAGGCTGATTTCTTTGTATTGTTTTTTTAAACAACTGTATGTTTAAACTCCCGTAATTTCATAACAAAATGTCAGATTTAAATATGATTCTTTTACCTTTTACATCTCTCATTTTACTGTTTAACCCTGTATTAATTAATAACTAAAAATCTATTTTTTCAATGTGTGACTGGTTTGGCTTGTCTTTGCCACATTTGTCTTTCTAATGTACTGGAAAATTTCAAGCTTTTTGGACTGATGCTAATACAAATATTATATCTACTGTAAAATATTTAAAAAAAAAAAAAAAAAAAAAACTTCAGGCTTGGACAACATTTTTTAGACCAAATGTCAGGGTGTTTGAGGATGATGCACATGGCCTTTTAATTGTGGTCCATCTCCACTTCAGTAATGTGCTTAGAATTGGCAAACTACAGAATCTTGCATTCTTTTGTGTTGAAAAGAAATTTTTTAGGAAAAGAAAAGGAAAAATTGTACTAGAATGCATGTATTTGAAAAAAAATAATAACCAAAATCTGTACCTTGCAAGTAATCAAGCTTCATGTATTTTCTGGTTTATTTATTAGGAATAATGCATAAATGGCCTTCCATACTTAATCCTTGACAGTTGTTATATGTATGCTTATGAGGTAGTATGATATTTGTAATAAATAATATATGCATTTGTAAAGGGGTTGATGATTGATTCATTGTGTATTTTAATAAATAATTATGAAATACTGTATGACTTTGCTACAAAACCAATATTATTGAATTAATTATAACTCTGCATTAATTAGTAATAAAATATAAATAAGATTTGTATAAACACTTGCTCGAGCATATCCATTTTAAAGATAATAATTAGGTTTAGTCTAGGTTTAGCCAATTATATAATAATAATAATAATAATATATGTATTTCTGACTGTTCAGACGATAAAATTTTAATTTTGTATCATGGATATGTTAAAATAAAAACAAAATTAAAAAAGTAAAACAATTTCTATGCTTAAAATAATGAATACAGTATATTCATTTATTGTTATAAAATAACACTATACATATTACTGAAGAATAATAAGGAAGAAAATAAAATATACATGAACATTAACCGTTAGCACTATTTTAATGAATTAGGCCTGAACAAAAAATGGTTTACAGTTGAACTTGCCTAAGTCAAATAAAAAATGCCATTGAAAACTTGTTGGACTTCGATAAAATTTGACTTATAGATTGTTAATTAATGGAAAACACAACAATTTGGCATGTAAAATAAGTTCGAGTTAGGCAAGTTTAACTGTATAAGCACCTCTAGTCCAAAATTTTAAAGGTTAGAGAGGGGAGGGACTATCAAATGGCAATCAAAATGTTTGAATCCCATTATAAGTACAGTGCAGATATTTGTCCTTTTCCATTTTGAAAAATAAATTCACTGGATTTATTAAGTAAATGTGGATGAAGTCTGGAAAAAAATTTCAAGACTTTCCTTCTCTGTTATTTGAATTAAAATAAATGACCTTTCTCCTAGTTCAAATACTATAGGTCAGCTGGTTAAACCAATGTCTTCATAGGACAAGTTTTGAGTCCATGTGAACAGTTGATCAGCCTCCTCTTCAAATTCATCCCCAGACTGCACTAGGTGGTAGTCATCTCCATTCTTCTCGTCATTTGACTTTGTAACATCAACTTGTAAACCAGGCTCATTCTGCATGTTAAATAAAACATGTAAATATTGTAATTAGTTTGCTCAAGAAATCCTAGACTGAATATTATGTTTTTTGGTCATGAAGTTCAAGTGAGGAACATATGAAACTAAAGAGGCGGCTCCATAACTAATTAGCTGGCAAAATATGTATTTTTTTTTTACTACTTGAGCGTAATTATTTCTGTTGGGGTGTGCTGAGGTACTAAGCCATCATCTTGTATAACCAACAGGGCTCTGACATGAATGTTCTTTAAACAAAATTGCAGAACAAACTTGTATAACCTGCAGGGCACCAAGAGAAAAAAATAAAAAACTAATAATTGTAAATACAGCACAAACTGGTATGGCAATCCTGAAAAAGAAAAAAAGAAAAAAAAGAGCAACTGGGCCAAGAAGAATACAATGTGTTGCTTATCTACAGCACTTTTATATTTCCTGTGGAGGTTGATAAACTACTAAAGGAAGAAGGAAGTAGTAGTGCTATTAATATCATAAACAATACATAACAATAAACATCAATCACTGCATGCAGCCTATGTAAAGGGGTTTTAACCTGTCAATCTCCAAGAAGATACAATCAAGACATGAGTTTAATTTATTGGTCTTATTTAAATTTGTAAACGTTGTTTGGATTATGGTCTATTGTGAATCCCAAACTTATAACGATAAAATATGGGCTGTTATAATTTATTACCTTTAATAAAGCAATATAGGGAAAAGGAAACATTACATGCAATTAACTTTTTCTGATAACAGCAGTCACCTATTTGAAGTCATGCAAACAAATGCTTAATGTTTTAATAGTCTGTAAGCAGGGGCCTAGTATGTACCAGTATTTCAGGCATTTGATTGGTTAAAAGCTGGACAATATTTCCAGACATGCATTCTAATGCATGTCTGGAATAATACAATCTATGTAGTGGTATATTCTGTAAAACAAATATATACTGTGTTTTTAATCGGGTCATAGTTCAAAATACAGCATAAAATACAGCCTCCAGATCTCCTTGGGCTATATATTTTGAATTACATACCGCATACATACAAAAAGCGGGTAATAACTTCAACCTACACAGTCCTATGAGGTTGAATGATAGTCATAAAATCCCTGGGAAAAAATTACTATCACGTTAAATGATATAGTACTTTTTTTCCCTGTCGCGATGTAATCTGTCCCTGCATATAGCTTTGCTATTCAATTTATGACACGCATGTACGGTAACGGGGACGCAACCTGGTGGGTACCCTTTTCATTACCTTTTTTAGGCCTCGTAGAATCTATGTATGAGTTATATAAAACAAACGTTGACTGCTCTAGATTCTAAAAACGGTGAAATCTATAGCCCATCTGTAATGTGGAGACTAAAGTAGCCTACTATCGTCCCGAGGGCCGAAGGTCTCTGCATCACCTCGGTGCAATAGATTTCACCATTCCCCACATGAGCAGTCAATATTTGTATACTATGCCAGTCAACCCAGTAAATATTTGTATAATATTGACATGGGGAATGATATGGGGACGTGAAGTTTTAATTGGGGGAGCTCGAAGATTAAGTGAGATGGCACTAGGTAGTTGTTTAAGCGTAACATCAGCAAATTTCTGGGGGTAAACTGGTGGTTGCACACTTGGGGAAAGTCACAACCTAATTTTGAAAGAGGTGTGGGTCCCCATGTTCCTCTTGTAGTGTGCTGTAAGTCTGCTGTAGTTTGTTAAGTGCTGTTTGACTTTTTTTTAATGCACTTGTACATATTTATATTGTTATATTTATTTTACCACTTTCAAATTACAGTTTAATTACTGTATTCAATTGCATATTTTACTCACTGTATTTAAAAGTAGGCCTATAAGGAACTTACTTCATTTGTTGTCTGGTACATACGCCGCATCTTACTGGCTCTCTGCCTAGCCTGTCTTGAGCCTCGGCTGGACTGGCTTCCACTGGAAACCCGTGCAGTATTCTGTGATTTTGGAAGTACTAACGGTTCTGGCGTTCTAGAAAATTAAATAGTTTTGATTCACATTTTGCATATTGAAGAGTAATAACTTATGAAGAGTAATAACTTAATAATAATAATAATAATAATAATAATAATAATAAAAACAATAATAATAATAACAATAATAATAATAATAATAATAAAATAATCGTAGACTTATGCCCCAGTCATTGGATTAAACACCTGGAACACACACACACAGCTCCCTGGGGGAATATTCCATCCATATATTGTCCACCGGACATGTCAAGTCCCCCGCCGGACAGAGCTCGTCGGGCAGTCAGACCATAAAACATATAAAAATAGGCCCACACCAAGTCAACACATGTCTGTCACAGTCTGAGGGTGCACTCCCTCTCAACCCCTTGCTCCAGGTCGAGCCTACGAGCTCAAGCCCCCTCCCGTAGGACAACTTAACCCTCCGCCCCAGAAAATATATCCTAGAGCCGCCACTGCTCTAGATGGCTGGAAATGGCACTCTATGGCAATATAATTTAATTTTTATATTTTTCTCCATTTTTGAAAAACAATTTTGAAAAATTTAGGGGCCCATGTCGGATAGGCCTGGACCCCCCATCATCCAAAGCCATGACGAGGTCGTTGGACCAAAAATAATAATTTGCCTATTCCAAATAATGTTATTTTGATTGCCAATCCCTAATATACAGTAGTTGTCTAAAGCACAATTTGGGTCATAAGCCATAAAAAATCTGCCTGTGAAAGCCAGACAATGTAGCAAACATGTTTTTTTTTTTTTATTATGATAATTTATAAAAATAAAAACATGTTTGCTACAGTGTCCAGATTTTGTGGGAGCACTGTCACATTTCATTATTTTTCTATCCATCATAAATGATGAATAGCTTTGAAATGATATACTTTTTGTGTTTATTAGTTTCCTTTTACTAATAAAAATCAACGAAGAAGCATGCAGTTTCAGAACAATTTTCAAAAACAATGCTTCAAGCTTCCGTGTGCATGCACAAATTGCACAGTTCATGCATGACTACACACACAGTAACAGAGTTTCCAATGGTGCTTGCAACCAACATACATAATGCATACATTTCCAAAATGTAGGAAAATTGTAATTAGTTATTAGACTGATGAAGTTTTGTTAGGTAAGTGTAGAATAAATTAAATATCAAATGTTATAATTTTTGCCCTGACAACTAAATTATTTAACTTCCACCCATCAAAAAATAAAATGTTAATGAATTTGACTTTACTGTATTTGATACCTGAGTTCTGAAATGATTCGTATGTGTTCACGCTGTAGCTCTTGGGTAACTGGCCTAGATATTAGTGCTTTCATTTCATTCTGTAACCGGGAACTAGCTTGGTTGCCTTCAAGGTAGTCCACAATATCATACAAGATGGTTGACCGAGTTAAAACTAAAAGAGATGTAGAGCAAATTATTATAATAATAAAAAAAGATTTGAATGGCGCTCACAAGGTGCTTAAAATATAAACAGCAGTAATAGAAAAATTTAGAAAACTAAGCCAGTAATTTAAAAGGTTTTTTCTCTGATTGCATTCATTCAATTAAGTGAATCCAGATGATGATTCAAAATTTCATTACAGTATTATCATATATACAGTACATACACAATGCAGTATATAAACTAGGAAACAACATAAAATCTCTACCATTACTCGTAACCTTCATTATAACTACAGTACGTCATCAAAATGTTATTCTACCATAAAACATCGAATTGAAGCCCAGGGCTTCTTTTTTTTTGTGAACTTTGTATGAGCTTCTTTTTGAGATGAGCTTCTTTTCGAGACTACTTTTGCAAAGTAAAGAGGAGGGGGGGGGGAGCCTTCTTTTCAAAATGAATGCTGTAAAAGTTGTACTATTATTAAACAATAAATAAGGTCAATGTAACATCAATCTGTATTATGGAGTGTATTAAACTGGCATTAAATCAGCTAAACTAATGCATAAACCAAGCTTGTTTTTAATTTATTTTGTTTTTTGTTTTCTGAAATTCATGAACAGTGTATGTACTGTAATATCTCGAAAAGAAGCCTCGAAAAGATACTATTTTGTATTTTGAGGGGGCTTCAAATCGAGATGGGCTTCTTCTCGAGATTAAGCCCACTGAGCTTCAATTCGAGGTTTTATGGTATACTGTAATTCACAATTTTATAGTTAAATAAATGGGAAAAAATTATGGATTTAATCTATACTATTACTGTTTAGGTCTAACTTCCTCCATAGGTTTTCCTTGCCTCCCATATAAGCTGGCAACTCATCCAACACACTAAGATACTGCAATACAGAAATAAATTACATCAACAGTAGGCCTACAGATTTAATAAATAAACACATTTTACAGTATCAATTCATTTATTACCATCAAAATAATTATTCATAATTTTGTCATTATCTATAATGACATCATCACCACATTATAATTAACTGTTATCATTTTTATTTAACATAATAATCATAATAAATATAATCTTTGTCATTATTCATCAATCTTTTTCATTATTCATATCATCAACTTAATAACACCGCAAATGCACAACAGGAACAGTAGGCCTATAGAGCCAAGGTGACAAATGAAAGTAAAAGAAAAAGTGTTCACTAACAAGAAGCAGAAAAGTAATAACAAAACTTGAAACTGTCTGGGTCTAAAAAAAAGAAAACCAATCCACTGAAAGAGCCATGTCACAAGAGGTCACAAAGGCAACGACTCTACATGTTAAAATAAAGTACCTCTGTATGGTGAGGGTAAGAATGCCCAGCTGGAGAAGAGTTGGACCCCCTCCAGGAGTTTACCTCTAGATTCAATCAGAAATTATAAGGCCCCCTTTTTTGATACCATAGCCAATATTTTCCTAAATTTGTTTCCTTACTTGCATGTAGTCTTTTACAGTCGTAACATCGACCTCTTCCGTAATCCTATGCTTCTCGTATTGACATGAATCTGCAATCATCTGATCATAGAATTTACGATTACCCATCATTTGGCATGCATCCACCGCTGCCTGTGAGAGTAAAGTTTAAACGACACGCAATTAAAAATGACAGCATAACACGCGTAGAATTATGATACGATGGAATGATAATGGCAGTGGTCTAGTTTCACATACAGTAGGCACTACAAATTATCATCAGTCTAGCGTTTTACAATCTTCCCTTAGTCTGTTTTTTTTATGCTTATATGAAATATGTCTACTGGAAATCTCACGGGTTAGAGCATTTAATGTCAGTTGTTTACTGTTATTTTTAATGTTATCCTTTTACTATGTTTGTTATAGTACATTCCGCTTCTACTTGGGATAGGGTTCAACACCAGTCACAAGTGCAAGCTCGGTAGTCTCTGGTAAAACACCAGGCTAAGTACCTGGACGTTGTGGGTTTGACTCCCACCCGAATCACTTACAAGATTTTTTTCCCAAGTAACATTCAGTATGATAACATGTCAGGTAGCGCAAAAACATTATTCCTATTTGTTATTATTTATTATTAATTTTATTACTACTATTATTATTATTTTATTATTAGTACTTCTTATTATCATTATTATATTATTATTATTATTAAATTATTATCATCATTATTATTATTATTAAATTATTATTATCATTATTATTATTATTATTATCATTATCATTATTATTATTAATATTATCCTTATTATTTAATTAGTTTTATAAGATGACTTTTGAAAATGTTTGTTTTAACGCTCATGCTGGTTTTATTAATTTCATTATTACTTTTATTATTAATACTTCTATCATTATTACTATTATTATTAATATTATTATATTATTATAATATCATTATTATTAATATTAATAATATTATTATTATTAATATTAATATTATCATTATTATTTAATGAGTTTTATAAGATGACTTTTGAAAATGTTTGTTTTACCTCTGATGCTGGTTTTATGCACTTTTTGCCACTGTAGTACTGCAGTCCCATTCCTTTTGTATGAGTGAAAATTTTGAATAAAATCATAGGTGGAAATTCACTACCACCAAACCTTAAAAAAGAATTTTAAAAAAAATATACTGTTGTCAGCTTGAAACTGCTCTCAGCAAAGTATTTAAGATCTATGAAAGCATAATTACAGACCTTATATAAGAATCCTACTAAGGAACTCTATGTTTGACTTTGAATCATGTGTGGCAAAGACAAGCCAAACCAGTCACTCGTCGCAAATCGTATTTCAGAGATAATGGCCAAAACATGCTGAAATGTCAACATTTTTTAAATCTATTTTATTGCACTAAACTAACCTTTATACATATACATCATGATATGCTGTTATTTTTCATTTTCAATGTTAAAACAACAATTTCTAACAATTTGGCCACAGTGGTTTCTGCCTGAGAAACTTTGAAGGCTGATTTCTCAAGTATTGTTCTTTAAACAGCTGTATGTCTAAACGCTTGTAACTTCATATTAAGGAAATATTGCATTTAATTTTATGATTCTTTTACCATTTTATAGCTCTCTTTTTCATCTTTAACCCTGTATTAATAACTAAAAATTGATTTTTGCGACGAGTGACTGGTTTGGCTTGTCTTTTCCACATAGTATAGTAATACATATCTTGTACTGTAGTTTCTCTGGTATATGATCCAACCCCTTTGATTGTAAAATTGGGCTTCTGCCTGAAGAAAGGCTGGTACTTAAAACTGGGCAAAGAGTAGGAGGTGGTACCCAGGGTGGGTAAATATCTGGGAAAATATGGTACGGTATATACAAGTACTGTAGAGAAATCCTATAGTAGTCATATAGGAATCCTATACATGTCTTTATAGGAGTCAGGTTACTTTGATTCCTTTTGGTATACTATAAATTCCTGAGGTAAAATGATGTTATGTCTTATAGCAATGAGTTTAATCATTTACAAGAATTATAGGTTTTGTACAAGATGATTGCTATAGGAATCTCATAGTTTTTTTTTTCTTTTTTTTTGAATCCTAAACAATAGATACAAGTCTCCCTGCAATAGAGGACATTTCGTACTGGGGTTTTCATGGTTCAGCAGCTTTGATTTGAAAAAAGTAAATATTTAAAAAGACACAAAATAAACATTTATTTGTGACTGCAGAAATGTGGCCTTTAATAGGAGGTGTGCTTTCATTGGAGGGGTGTTTAATTCAATGGAGAACTGTATCATACTGCACAAGAATATAGAATACTGATTTAAAAAAGAATGTCTTTTATGATTACCTAAATCGTATCCTTGCATTCATACTTGGGTCTTTTAGTAGGTGGGCTTCTGTCGGACTAATTTTCCGTAGAACTTCATACGTTAATGAATGCTCCTTCAAAAAAATAATGTTATGTAATTACATCACAAATGACCATATTAAGGCATGTCACATGTTTTTGTCAAATAAAATTTGACCATTTGGAAAGGGCTTTTCTAAACAAATTTCTTGTTTAACATAAATAGCACTAATTAATGATACTACACTTACAGCTGCACAGATTGCATGTTTAAGGAGTTGGAACATTTGACGGTCTCTATAGCGACACCAACATCTTTCAATCATATGAGCAGCTAACACCTGGATAGCCCTAAAAGAAGCAGCAATAACAATATCGATATTTAATACCAATAGCAATAACAACTATAATAACAACAATAATAATAATAATAATTATTATTATTATTATAATGATAATAATAATACTAATAATATTAATAATTAACTTGATTGTAGAACAGACCATGGCATTCACCAATGTGTTTGACATTAGAAGGTATGAAAAAACTCCAAAGGAAGTGACGATATCCAAAGTGTGTTTGTGTCAGGAAAATATCACAGGAGTGATTATTGTTTTGCCCTACCTGACGTTTTATCATACTAAATACTCAGTACTTTCCTAAATACTAGCGAAAACAAGTTCGCAAGTGATTCGCAAACCCACGACCTCTAGATAACTAGCCTGGTGTCAACCATTAGGCTACTGAGCTTGCGCTTGGTGACTAGTTGTGAATCCGATCCCCAAGTAGCAGCAGGTATTTCAATAGTGATGCCATTTCCATAGTGTGCTTGCGTCAAGAAGATTTAGTAGTGATGTTTTGGCCTACCTGATGTGTTATACTGAATATATCAGAAATATTGCTATAGCAGCTAACCTCAAAGATTGCAGGGTGTCTGATAGAAGAGTTTGTATTTTTTATTCAAAGTTCTGTCCAAGAAAGAAGATCTTTTCATTGTCTTTTATGAGTGGAATGAATAAAGTTTGATTTGATTTGTATAATGAGAATTGGGTATAAGTATGATAATGATGTATGAAGATTCCTAACAATGACATAATTAATGTCGAAATATTGAATCCCAACACGATGGCGTGCATTTCAATACTTGGAGTATGTATTATACTACTCTTACGTATGAGGATATTGATAATGATGATGAATGAGAATCAGGGGCGGATTTAGGGGGGATCCTGGATGGCCCGGGCTTCCCCCTTTTTGAAAGTTGAAAAAAAAAGAAATTAAAAAGAAAAAGGAAAAAATTGATCGCCCAAAACGCCTCATAGGTTATTTTTGGGCGTCTAGAAAACAAATATTTTGCGGGGGCGTTGTTATCCCGATCGCCCACCCCCCTTTCGACCTTTTTTTTTGTTTTTCGGACATCTCTGGATCCGCCCCTGAGAATAGTGATGATGATGATAAAATTATATGATGTATATCAATCATAATGATGATAATGCTAACAAATATGATTATTCTGGATCCAGAGGGCATACGATATGCCCACCTAACATCCTTAATTCTATGCTGATGTACAATAACATTAACTCATGACACCAACTTACTCTCTTCCTTTAATTAATGTTGGGCTAAGATTCTCCTCCTGTGTCTGGTCTTGTGGTGATGATAGTGGTGTGAGTTGAGGCTTCATTAGAACTGCCCCGCGAGGCAAGGCATGCTCACTGGGTAATGTGACGTTAATTGTTGATCGGTTGACTGTCTCCATCACCTTTAAAACACTTTTCTTTTCTTAGAATATTTCCTAAAAATGAATGATCAGTATAGTTAAATCACCAATAAAATGTAATTGAATTTTATGTATATTCCATTAAATTATTTAATTGTGTAATTTTTTCCTAAATTTTATTATACTGTATATTTATACGTTATTTAATGAATCTTATTTTATGTCTAATTTTAATGTTCTTATATTGTAGTTTTTCATTATTTTTTTTATATTTGCATGTTTGAACTTAACCCTTTTTGTGTGTGATTTTAATGGGTTTTTTTTGGTAATTAATACCAGTAACCAAACTTAAAGTAACAAATTAGTAATTGCTGAATTCGTATATCTTAATAATTTTAATGTTTTTAATATATTGTAACATTCTCACAATTCAGTTTCTTTTTGTAAGTTACTGCAATGAGATGAAATAAATTAAACTTGAAACTTAAAAATGTATCTTAATTAAAAATGTAGGCCCTCTGTCATTAGCTAAAAAACTAAATTCCATATTTCAGTTGCCTATTGCAATTTTAGATTCAGATGCATGGTTTTGTTCCTGTTTGCTTTCTATATTTGGTGTTTGTATATTTTTTATTTTATTTATTTATTATTAATTATTTTACTTTTTTTTATATTTTTATTATTTTTTTTAATTCTTTAATTTATTTTTTATTTATTTATTTATTTCTTATTTTCTGGATCCCTTTTGAAACAAACATTTGAGTTTAAAGGGTTATCCAACGCTCACTCCTTTCATTCATGTATTGTGGTCTGTCTGATTTCTTTTTACCTTTTTGATGCTCTTTTCTGTTATTTTGAATGGTTTTGCTTTGTAATTCTCCTTGTAATTTTTTTTTTGAGCATAAATAAAAACAAACAAACAATACTTAATTAAAAATTTCAACCACAAAAAGAAAAAATGATTAGTCAATTAACACGGAAAGTTGAATATTACTACCCTTCCTTTACAGTTAAACTTGCCTAAGTCGACTGCCCAACTAGAGTAACTTTGATTTTATTTTACATGCCAATTTGTTGAGTTTCCATTAATTAATGATCTGTAAGTTGAATTTTATCATTTTGGATTCGACTTAGGCAAGTTCAACCATGAAGATATCTCCATGATTCAACTGTATTCTTTTCCATAGCTCTTTAAATTGTCTGGTTAAAATCAATTTAAAGATTTTTGTAGTAAAATGTCTAAAAATCACTAAAAACCTTCTTTTTTTTCATGTTTCCCTGTGGTGTAACCTACTGTAAATTTTTTTAATTGCATGGAGGTCATATAAGAAATCAGCTTAGATTTGTGCGGAAAATATCACTAGGAAAACAGGTGTGCGGTTATATATTTGTTCAAAACCTAATTTGTGGCATAATCTGCACAGAAATTGGTCCTTATTTTCCGAAATGCGCAGAGATTTCTAGGCCAAATTTTTGCACCGACGATACATACCCCGTGCAGATATTACTATACAGTCTGGGTGGTATGTCTAGTCCTGGAATTCTTGAAATAGGGTGGGGCTAATTGGGTGGGGTCGATGATTATGCAGTGTCACTAGCTCACAAAATAAGGTGGTATGAGGTGATTTTAAAACTATTTGAGCATAAGCTTAGCTCAGTTAGGGAGCAGCTTAGCTTAGTTGGCTACTCTGGTGGTAGCTACTGTGTGTGCGGTGAAACGTGGAGACTAGGTCCCCGGTTCAATTCAGATCGCTGCTCTCCTTGTTTCAGCTGGATCAGGATTGAAATACACTGGTTACGGTAGCGCACCATTTTATCGGATGAGACATTTAAGCCATTGGTCCCGTGTGCAATATGGCCCATGTGCACATTAAAGAATGCAGTACACTCTACGGAAAAGAGTAGCCTGGATTGTCTCCCTGTATACTGCCCATTTCACCACCAGAAGTTTCCCGAAACAAGTCTTCAAACTTCCTGGGTTATCCTTGGTGTGATTTATACCAAATAATTATTTATGTTTATGATTATGTTTATTTATGCTTAATGGTTTTGCTTGTGGGAGGGGTGGGGAGACACAAGGGGAAAAACATGTTTTTTTTTTGGGGGGGGGGGGAGACCCCGCCCACACCCTACTACTAACTAATAGTAATAAATTAATAATTTATAAATAAATAAATAATATATAGGCCTAGGCCTAATAATAACCTATAAGCCTATTCAACGTTTCATTCTAGAAAGTCGGCTAGGTCTAGGCTAGACAGGGGGAGATCGGTCTACCCGGCTATACTACGCTTGGGCTTTCTCCTCACTCAGTCAGCCCAGCGCGGGCCCAGCCGATATGTTTATGGTATAGATAGGCCTAGGCCTACTTGTTTGTTAGTTGGTCAGTGAGCCAAAACTGTTGTGAAATGCAATAAACAAAGATTTATAATGACATAAATAATAACAACGCTTACTGTTAGTTTGCTTTAATTTTGATTATGCCAAGTTATCATAGTGAAATGTTCAAGCAATGTTATTGTTCACTTCCGTATTTACTGTTGCTAAGATTTTGGACGCTGTTGCATCCCATCATGCAATAGTTGTCGCAGTAGTTTTTTTTTTAACACAATATTCACTTATTTTAAAAATTATATTTGTTACTTTTATAGCGAAATAAAAATAGATAAAATACAAAACTGAAATTTTAAATTTTATTCTTTAATAGCCTATCTTTTATTATTAATTATTACAGTACAAAAATATATATAAATATAATTTAAGCGACGAGGCACATTCCAAAAGTATGGCGGATTAGCGTATACCTTCTGCGGAGTGTGAGCGAAATATTTCAATTAATGATATTTTGTTATAGTACAGTATTAATACTTTTTAAAACAAATAGAGGCCTATAGCATTAAAGCCTAGACGGCTTTGGGTATACAGTTATTTTCTTACAGATACCAGGATAATTACTAGGCTTTAATACAATTTATATGCATAAAAATTCCTACCAGATAGGCCTCCTGGGGGCCTGGTGGGCTAGTGGAAGCCCTAGTCTAGGGGCCTAGAGGCTAGGTAGTACTAGTAGTACTAGTAGAGCTAGGCTGGGCTTAAAAACGGAGAGAGTGCGATCCGTGTTGAGACACACACTTCAATCTACGTGTAAACAACAGCCTTTAGGCGGGTAGGCCTAGGCTGTGTTTATTCTGATCGTTTTCACAAACAGACACAAACTGTTCACGAGTTAAGACTAAGTAACAGGTTTGAGGTTAATTATTAAAGTTAAGAAGCAAAAAATAAATAAATAAAATATGAATTATTATTTAATGCTTTATTATCTTTAAACATGCCTAGGGCCATGCCTATGTAAAAAATAATAATAATTTAGACATTCTAATATTATGTGAATTTACTGTTTTATAACTAGGCCCTAGGCCTAAGCTAGGACCTAAGCCTAGTCTACTTCAGACATTTTTCTCGAAACACTATTTTGATCAAAGTTAAAGTTTGTGTCTCTTTGTAAAAAATGGTGACAAATTTAATATGCAGGACTAAGTTAAGATTCTGCGCACCTATTTTCCTAGTGATTTTCTTCACAAATTTGAGCTATTTTTTTTTATTTGAGGTATCATCCACAATTTTAGTTCTTTAAAGCTGGAATTCAATTGCAAGCTTGTCTGTCTTTACAGTAGGTAAATAATAGTTTGTAAAGAGTTCACTGTAATGTTTTAACTTTTAGAGTAGATACCATTTACAAAAATGTATGCAACAAGAATTACATGCAGTAGGCCTCTGTTAATAGATTGCAATATTTCTTATCCTATTTTCCAGATATACATGCTGTTCCATTGGCAGATTATCAGATTCGTAATATAGGAGCCACCTGCAGATGAACTATATACCAATATGCGGGTTAAAACATCCCTAGCAAAAGAAGCTAAACATATCCTTTTTTCGCCATGTTTATTCTGTAGTTTGTTTATGGTATATTTTAGGTTTTAGTGCCACTTGTAAAATCATTAAAATTATAAGGTTATTATGGTGGAAGAGGTATTGGCCAAGAAAAAACAAAGCAAAAAGTTCCTTGTTCAGAGAGGAGAAAGTTTTTTTTTTTTCCTTCTTTTGGCTCTCATACAGATTTGTATGATGGTTTAAAAGCCAAGATAGAGGAATAAATAAAGGGTCTTTCACAGTTAGCAACATTTTTGCAATTGTACAATCAGTACACTTTCTGGTACTCCCTCCCTCTCAGCTGAAAGGGTACTTAATAAATGTTGATTTTTTGCAATTTAACCATTTTTTGTGAAGTTAACTAAAGTGTTGTACTTGGTTTACATATTATATCAAATGGCATGGTTGTATTATAATTGTTCATAAAAATCTATTACAAATATTGCATGTTATTTTGAATCAACATTTTCATGCATTTGTAAAAGTGTACACATTTGTCTTTCCTAATAGCGTACTATTGTAGACTTGGTAAAATTGTTTGATAATTGTGAAGGACCACTAATAATTAATTGACATTCAACTATTCCATGTATTGAGGCTGTAGCAAAAAACAAAAATAAGAACAACATTTTTTTTTAAACTCAGCCTTTAACTGAAAATGACTCTTCTCCAAAACCATGTATAGAAATAATGGAGTTATGTTTTTGTTAGTTAATATTGTTTCATTTGAAAATCCTCCAAATTCTGATTTTTTTTTAAAATCCCAACCAGTATCTTTGGTTAAACAGTTTACAATTATTTCAGTCAGATATTAGCCATTGTTCCCTTCTGACTATTCTTGTACATGATACTCTGTGTACTATTTTAAAGGTACTGCATGATATTTTCTTCCTGTGTAGCCTGAAAATTTTAATGTAAAGTTTATGTAAATATTTCATTTGTATGTGTATCTGTTTAAATTTCAATAAAGAAAGATTATAAATTATTTATATTGTTTGAAGGTTTGCATGGTGAAGTAATAATAATATATTTAATGCTTGCGGTTCACCAAATACTGTAGATAGTTTTGAAAAGAATTGTTGTTTTTTGAGAATGTATCTAAATATGTATAATATTAAATATTTATATCATATATTTTAATGTTTCTCTTGACTTTATAAACCACATTCCGAATTGGTGAGCTGTGTAGCCTGGACCACATCTGAGCAGTTGTTCTCCTGCGGCGATGACCACCAGGTTCTCAAGTGGAACCTTGTGTCAGATGAAACCTCAGTACTGGTGAAGTTACCTGATGAAATATATGCTACAGATGTCCATTTTTTTCCAAAGAGCATCGGCGGTAAAGGAAAGCAGACAGGAAGTGAAATATTTGTACTAACGTCAACGGATGGTGCGTAAAATATTATACAAATAATGAATGTTTATGACTGCGATGGATAGGCAGATTCAAGGGAGGTTCAGGTGGCCCGATTCTTCCCCCACCCCTCTCCCCTTTCTAAATATTTGAAAAATTCCAGGGCCATCTAGAATTGGTAAAATTCCATGTTAGGTCTGAGCTAGTCTGTTCTTTTCATCTGTGAATTTGCCTTTCTGGACCCCCTCGATTTTAAATTTATGGATCTGCGACTGCACTAGGATAGAAAGAATATTTTCAGCCATTAAAAGTTTGAATGTTTCATTCAATGGGGCACATGAAACCGTCAATCTTTTATTGAATGCAATATTATTTCCATTGCATGAATACAAAACATCCATTATTGCTTTTATAAACACACCTACAGTAAAACATGTACTTAATAGACATTGGATATTTTGTTTTAATATATTGAATTTAAAGTTTATCTTTTGTCTGAATGGAACAGTCCATCTTCTTGCAATAAAGAATATTATTGTATTAGATGGAGGCGTGCAATGGAACAAAACGTATGGATGGCATTAAATTTTCATAAAAAATGATGCAACTTAAAATATAATGCATTTGTTTTGAGATTATATGGTGTAATTGCCCGATATTACATAAAAAATCCACCAATCAAATGACAGGTCTATGTAGGTGTGTTACAGACTTTTATGTCTCTTTTGGGTAATTGTTTATTTGAGTCTACATATTAATTAATTATAAACAATTATGAGCTTGTATTGAAAATTCAAATCTGTGATGCAGCATAAATCCATTTTTGAAATGTTGCTATGTTTTTCAGGAAAATTTTTGTTGATTTCTAAATCTGGTCGAGTAGAGAAGTCTGTTGAAGCTCACAGAGGTGCAGTGCTTTCTGGTAGATGGAGCTACGATGGTTCTGCCATGGCAACAGCAGGTGAAGACGGACAGGTGAAGATCTGGTCAAGGAGTGGCATGCTGAGGTCAACATTGGCTCAAACAGGTCAGAATAATTTAAATTAAACAAATGCATTTTTTCATTCAGCATATTTCTCTTTCAAGAATTTGGGATACACCACCAACAAAAGTCACTGGTCTTCATAGTTTCGGTTGCCCTAAGCTTTTACCCGCCTTATTTAATGTTATATAGAGTTAAATGTAATTAATTTATGGGTGCTAATATATATATATTAGCACCCTTGCCCTTTACTAATTTTCTACTCATTAATGTAGTTATTTATAACAGGTTTTCTTTGTTAACAACCACTAGGCCCATTGTCTTGTCTCTTCATTAAACAGAAACTTAATCTTTAATTGTTGTTTGCGCTTATATTAGGTTCTCCAGTGTACTCAATATCCTGGTCACCTGACTCTGATCAGGTGTTAATGACCAATAGCAAACAACTAATTATCAAGTCACTTCAAGCAAATGTTAAACCAGTCCAGGTAAAGTTGAAAGCTAAAAACTGTGTTGAATACTGCCCTCAATGTTGTAATTTGAAATAATTTACAAAAGTACTCTAATTAACTTGATTGGCCCACTTATAATTACAGATGTTTATTGCTTTGTCAAAGTGAATAATTTACCTTGAAAATATCCGTCAGACAGGCCCTCCTTGGTTCTATTACCTGAGTTGAGAAGAGCTAGTCTCGCCAAAACAGGTGGTTTGCCAACCTGTGCTTTACATAAAATAATTATATATAAATGTTATTGTTAATGTTTTTATAGAAAAAGGTAGCTATGTATACTTTAAATATATAATATTAAAGACAAGTTGGACATCATATTGTTAATTATAGTACTAACAATTTTGTTTTTTAATTATTGTAATTCTAAAATTATTCTTTGTTATCAAACAGTTTGAACAGAAAGTTATTTAATATTAAAGTGAAAAATTTGATGTATTATTTTAGTGGAAAGCACATGAAGGAGTGATATTAAAAGTTGATTGGAACCCTTCCAACAACCTGATCTTGTCAGGTGGTGAGGACTGTAAGTACAAAATATGGGACAGCTACGGCCGGCAGATGTTCTCCAGCCATCCCCATGACTATCCTATCATATCAGTCTCCTGGGCCCCTGATGGAGAACTCTTTGCTGTGGGTTCATTTAACACTTTACGATTGTGTGACAAAACTGGGGTAAGTTTCTAATTTTTTACCTTAATTTTTTTTTCAGTTTTGCTCAACAGTGAGTGACTGGAACGATATTTTGGAACTTCCGATTTTCTAATGTAATTTTATTAAATAGTTACTAGTTTTGCATTTGTTTGTTATTTATTTTTCTGGATTTTTATCTGTATTTTTTTGAATCTGCAATATTTAGCTTAAGATGTAATTTTTCGCCATATATTTGTAAATTTCTTATTCCATTTCTTACTGTAATGTTATTAATCAATTTATCTTTCACTTGTTTTTATTTTTATATATATTTATATGTATTGTATGACATCCTGTAATTGGCTTCCACTGTTGGATGATTTTCGAAATAAAATAAAAATAAAATAAAAATAAAATAAAATGACATGTTTATTCATGAGATTGAGTGTTTTTGTGTTGTTCAAAGATAAAAGGCTATACCAATGCTAGAATAACTGTCATAAAATATTATGAGTCTATTACCCCTGTATACTCAACAATTTTCTTCAAGCTAGGGAGGCATTTTGAGCCCTAATGACATATTATGAAATAATAATGATGTCATATCTACATTATTACATCAAGTGTGCCATATTGTAGTTTTCAAGTGATTTTGATTTTTTGATATCATATTTATATCTACTAACTAGTACCATTAGGAAGCTTTCGATTGCACGACGGCGGTAGGACGTAGAACGTAATGACGTCACTAAAAATAATCTGTGCATGCAAGAATTTTAAGGCCACCTCGTCGAGTAGATTCTGGAACGCAATTTGGCCAAATCTACGTATGCAGAGAACGTAGGATGCCAGGTAGGACGGTCACGCATGAGTGATTCCGTTCTAGCGTCGCCCATCGCATAAATCGAAAGCTCCCTAATATGTGGTCTAAAACCTACTGTTCAGGATATATGTGACCTCAAGTTTGTATTTGGCGGTCATTTGAAATTTATGCAAATTAGTACCTTTCCAGGTGTAGGATGCTGGTAAACTTTTTATATAATGTTCGGTACTAACAAGAATAAACCAAAAACTTTACGTTGCAGTTTGTTCTTGGTTCATATTTTTGTTGGACTATATATAGTTCCATAATAGGCATAATCGTTGTTGAGCATTCAATAATAGATGCCACTAGGACTATCTTTTGTAGTAGAACTAGATGATTAAAGTGTTCAAACTATGAGAAAAGAAAAGAGCAGCATTTTTGTGAGCCAGTTAACAATTTGGTGTGCAAAAATCTACAGAACTTAAAAAATAAGGTGCATAAATTCAATATTTATTTGCCAGCAACAAAACATAAACCTACTCTACAAGAGCTTACATGGCCCTACAGACATTATCAGTATTTATATTTTTTATTTTTTAGTGGTCTCATGCGCTGGAGAAACCTAACACTGGAAGTATATACAGCATTGCTTGGAGTGCGGATGGCACTCAGGTTGCGGGCGCGTGTGGCAATGGTCATGTGATATTTGGTCACATGATAGAAAGGTAATTTTTAATTTTTTTTTTGGACAAATCAAATATTGGTGTATATTATAATTACAACTAAATAGTAGATAGCCAAAATTATTTTACTATGTAAATGTTTTATTATACATTCAATCTCCAATATGGAGAGAGACTTTGAAGGAATGTTAAATGATCTCTTAAAATTATTAATATTTGTTTTTTATTTTAATGTTTAATTCATTTTTAACATTTGTATAAGTATTGTATTAGAAAAAAAATTCATTTGTTACCTTAATATTCTTAACTAAATTGTTAAAATATGTGGAGTTAGACATAAAGTGGAAAAATACCTTGTTTGAAATGAAGAAAACTAAAATTTATGAACATTTTTTTTTTGCTAATCAGGAGGCTAGAATGGAAAAACTTTGAAGTTGTCAACTCATCAAGAAATACAATTGTTGTGCGAGAAGTGATTAACGAGGCTACTGAGAAGTTGGAATTCCGAGACAGCATCATCAAAATGTCCTTATCGTTTGGCCATCTTATTGTAGCAACATCCTCACAGTGCTTTATCTACAGCACTAGGAATTGGAACACTCCCACCATATTTGATCTGAAGGAGGGAACCGTTACCTTAATTGTCCAGGCTGAGAAGTAAGGATGAGTGTCATAATAATTCTGCTAATTTTCTATAAAAAAAGAAAAATAATAAGCGATCATTGTTTCAACTGCAAAAGACAGTGTCAAAGTTCAATGCATAAAAATAAGCAGATGTATTGGCTGAAACTTTAAGAAAGCTTTTTGAATTCATTGTACTTCACTTTTGTTTTTACTTGATAGAGATGGGGCACAACTGTATCATTAAATCATCACTATTACACATTCATTAATTTTCCCAATGTAATACAGGTACTTTATATACAATGATTGTCTCATGACACTTTCCTAATGATATACATAGGTAGAATTTTAATTGTTTTCATCCTGCAAAATGTTTTTTTAAAAACATTTAATGTATTCTTTATTTTTCAGGCACTTTGCATTAGTGGTGTCAACAGGTGTAAATGTCTATTCTTATGAGGTAAATGTGAATGCCTTCCTGGGCGAAAATGGGGCCTAGTCCATTCGGCGCCCCCCCCCCACCACCTTAAATTTTTCAAAATTAAAAAAAACTTGGAGAAAAAAAGAAATTAAAAAAATTTAAGGCTGAGTGTGCCTTTTTCGGCCATTTTACCTCAGCCTTTTGATCTGCATAGACACTCCGTCTGCGAAAGTCCCTCTCTGAGCCGCCTCTATTTCGAATGTCTGGATCCGCAATTGTCCTTGTTAATTTGGTAAAGTATATTACAAAGAAAATATAGACTGCTGATGGAATCGAATCGTGGTCTAGTACATTCCAATATTATTTTGCTTTCCTTACCAAATAGACACTGATATTTATAATTAGCATTTTCAACACATATATACATCATACATATTTCTCTGTAGGGTCGTTTGCTTTCCTCACCCAAGTTCCAAGGTATGCGACTGGATACACTGAACATGATGTCCTTATCCATCTCCAACGACACTGTTGCCATACGTGACAAGTCCAATGAGAAGCTTGTTCATGTGTTTGATGCAACCAACGGCAAAGCTTTAGACAGCAAGCCAATTCAACACAACGTAAGATACGAATCAATTTAATTTGTTCTTCTTCATACTGGGTAACCAGTAGATACCAACTGTTCACTCACAAGGTTCAGTTATGATCTATAAACCAAGTCTTATAATGAGGCAGGCAGTGGAGATGTTTTGGTTGTGAGAAAATTTCTGGTTGTCACTGTAATTGAACCCATAATGATGAATGATTGATTGATTAATTGACAGATTAATTCTTTTATTCAAAAACATTATTATGGTGTAAAAAAGTGGTTTTAAAAATAGTGAGACTTCTGCTTGCACAGTAGGAGACTAGTACTGCATGTGTGGTGACCACATGATCCTATATTTTTCTACTATAGAACATTTAATAATCAACAGACTGATTTAATTGTTTTGAACTTGAATAAATAACAGGGTTTGTGGTATAAAATATATTTATTCAATTTGATGTAATAAATGTGGTAAATATGTTGCATTCTTGTCATGAATGTATTCAGCAGAACTTGGAATTTGGTGCAGTATAGAATAGGGAGATTTTGATTTCATTAAGACGGTAGGACATAGAATGTAATAACGTCACTGAGAAGTTATTTGCGGATTTGAGAACATTGAGTTCTTATTGTCGCCTGATTTCTAGGACACAGTCTGGCCTGGATCTATGTTGTGCAGGAAATGCTAGAACGGTCATGGATGAGTTTATCTGTTCTTTCTTGCGTCGCTTTGTTATGCAAATCGAAAGGTCCCTATTGGCTGTATATACCCATCCTAAATCACTATTCATCAATTTGTTTTCTAATATTTTCTCTATATATAGCTTGAGATATTAGAAATTGCCCTGGACAAGTGTGGACCACCAGCGGACCGACATTTAGCCATTGTGGACAAGAACAGAGACCTACATCTGAGTGCAGTGAGGACATTTGGTAAAGGACCTCGCATTGTTAAGCTGGGTAATGAAATTGTTATTTCACATTTTATTCTGCTGCAAGTAACTACATGCTCATTCCATGCCAAATCACCTAGAAGTCCCTAGGAAGGTAGCCCCAAGTAACAATATAAATATGTACACTATGAAATTAATGATGTAAGCATGCATGCAAGTATTGTAGTGTTTAGTCAAGACATTTTTTTATACCTTGTTTCGCAAATGGATCGCTCATTTGCATAATTCATATTTCACTAATCAAGTAATTTAGGCTACTTACCATGATAACTAAAGTTTGGTAAGTCTTATTGTTTTCAAAATTGGTAGAATGCAAGATATTAATAAGAAGACAGAGCCTATTGTTTTTGGTACATGTGTGAATATGCTCATTGTTCATTTGCATAATTAATATTTTACTAATCAGGTAATTTTGGCTAATTACCATGATAGCTAAAGTTTCTGTAAGTCTGATTGGTTTCAAACTTTGTATAGTGCGAGATGGTTATAAGAAGATGGAGCATATTGTTTTTTGGTATGTGTTTGAATATGATATTAACTCATTTCCATAATTATAATTTCACTAATCAGGAAATTTATGCTAATTACTATCATAATTCCCAAAGAAAATTTCTGATGTAGGTGAAATTGTAAAATTCTGTCATGTTGTCGCTGTTGTAGTAAATTATTTGTTTGCACTATAACTAAAAATTGGTAAGTTTAATTGGTTTGAAACTTCTACACTTCTACTCTTCTCAGAGAAAAAGTCACACACCATGGAGAGGCTGCTTTTACTGAGAAGCGTAAAAGGGGCATTTCTAGATAATGACAATAAAATTGCCGAAACATCTCTGTAGGAAGAGGATTCACTCTAAAAATAATAGCTTTGGCCACTTCATTAGCAAAATCACTTCACTGACACACATCCCCCTCCCCCCGAACACTTTCTCAGTACCTGGGCACAAGACTCATGGTTATGCTACTGGTTTTAGTAGCACTGCTATATAAAATCATGTCATGTTTGATAAATTTTTGTTTGTTAGCCAACATAATTACCATGGTTTTAATGGCAATAGATAAATAAATAAATTAATAAATAAATACATAATAAATTCTATTTTTTATATTTTTTAAATTGACATAAATTGCATAAGAAGAAATAAATTTATTAATAAAAATAACTTCAAATTTTAATCTTTTAAAATTGTCATGTTTGCATAGCTGTCCTATGGCAAAACAACATGACTACTTTTATATTTTTGTTAAGTTCTTTTGCCTTGGAGCGGTTCTGCATTGTGTTTTTATATGCCTTTGTTTTTTATGTGTATTTTCTTTTGTATATTTTTTATTTTACTGTAACAAGGGACAAGGTTTTTTCTTAGTGTGACAATAAACTATTTCTATGTTTATGTATATGTCTAATACAAGACACCAATTATTATCGTCGTCTATTTTTTTTTTTTATTTTAGCCAATATGATTACCAGTCTAGCATGGAATGATAGCACCAACATGTTGGCCGCTCTACAGGACAGCAAGCTGTTTGTAATCTATTACCCAAATGCCGTGTATGTAGACAAAGACATCTTACCAAAGACTATCTACGTCAAGGATACAAGGTGAGAATAGAATTTGAAAATCAAATTTCAAGAGTTGGCAATAAGTTGTTCTTAATTACATTGCATTTTTTACATCCACCATTCCCTAACTCCCCCCCCCCCTACCCACTCCCTACTGTAAAGTAACTGCATGGATCATTTTGAGAACTAAAATTTGCATACAAATTAGGAAATTAGGCGTGAACATCGTAACTACAGCATAATACATTGGTAGTTGTATGTGTCAATCAATATTAAAGGGTACCACAAGTGTTTGGAGGATACCTTTGTCTGTCAGAAGGGACAAATTGCTTATTATTTTTTGCTTTAAAGTTCTGGTGGGTTTCCTAGACTGCAGCACAGTTTATGGCGGTGTTGAAATCAATAGCCGACATAACGATCGTTTGTGTTTCTGTCATCAAGCATTTTTCCACTAGGGAGCCATCGGGTCGCTTTGTGTCTGGGACCAGCTTCCTAGATCGTTAACTGATGCTGCAGTTCTAGAAAGCCCATCCTCTTTTCTTCGTAAAGTTAATATTTATTTTGATTTGCTGTAATGTAGTTCCCCTACCCCTTTTTTTCCCTTGTGGGATGTTTGTGCGTGTTGCTGAAATTGGGGTTGGGTCAACCGGTTTTGGTACAGTGATTTGGTTCACTTTGGTTGAACCCTGTCTCCCCAAATTTCAGGTTCTTTTTTGTCGCTTTCTTTTTTGTACATTATGTTGTATATTGTTAAAAGACCAAATAAATAATGAAATGAAATAAAAGCTATTTGCTGCAGTATGTTGCCCTCTCAGTTTTCCCCAGAAACTCCTTTGTCCAAATTCCCACTTTTTATATCTGTTGATTTATTACGCTTCAAGCGCTCTCATCTTCATGAAATAGCACTATATAAATTCTGTAATGTATGTATTGTGTTTGAAGTGATTTCGGCAAGAATCCCAGGATTGTAAGCTTTACCGGTAACCATGTGACCATACGGCGTGCAGACGGAGCGTTGGTGAGTACCGGTATTGTGCCGTATCCTGCTATGCTGCATGAACTTGTGGGCAGTGGACGTTGGGAAGATGGTGTTCGTCTTTGTCGCTTTGTCAAGGTACATTGGAAATTTTTATTTGGGGGTGCAAAATTTGATGTATATATAGGTTGTTCATATGTTAATATGGGATTGAAGGGGATAGACTGACTACCTCGGCAGTTAACAAATTGATTTCATTTAAATCTGAATTTGTATTAAATCTTTTAATTTTCCAAAAGATTCAACTAACTTTTGCAATTGCAAAATATGGTTATTATAAATATTGAATATGGAAGTGTGAAAAAGCATTGACACCGGTTTGTCCTCCATTCAAATGATTGGGGCTCAAGCTCACCACTTCTTTTTAGTTATAGTAAAGGCAGTAATATGAACACATCTGTTTATTATGTTATAAAGATTTACTATTGTAACTTTACATTAGTTCAAGTGGCCTGTAAAATGTCTGTACCTGCAGTACTTTATGTTGGAAATATGTTTAATATTTTAATTTTAAGATAACATAACATTTATTGTCCAATAAAACAACTGGAAATTTGTTTTCCTATGGCAATACAAGACACAAGGCAAGATTAAAGTTAAAATACAATTGATAAAAAATATTTAAAACATCATATACGGATATCTAAAATTGATCCATTAAAAAGAATAATAATAAAATTGATAAAAATTCAGAACTCGTACCGTTTAAAATGATACATAAAAGGTGTTGACTGATTAAAATGATACATATAAAAAAATAAGTGTATTGTTCTAAGCATTCAATGACGGAAACTGATATCTGATGATGTCTTCTAGAATATGCGTTGTCCACATGACCTTAACAAACCAATGATCTTCCAGAATTATTTCAGCTTTTTTAGCCTCAAATACTGATTTATAATTTGGCAAAATCAACTGGCTTTCATGATGTCCTTTTTTATAATGACTGAAAATAATGTGATTTTTATAGGATCCAGTGTTGTGGGCCTGCATGGCAACGATGGCAGCATATGCTAAGGAATTGAACACTGCAGAGGTTGCGTATGCTGCAATTGATGAGGTTTGTATGAGTTGAAGTACACATTATAATTAGTTTGTTGGCTGCCAAGCCTTTTTCCTTGCTGTTGCCCATATGCCAAGACATAGAGGGCACTACCATAATGAAAATCATTCCAATCAACTGTCTTGGTGCCCTAAGTAAACCCTGTCAGATGTGAACTCATGTGCCTGGCAGAAGACGTGTTAAAAGACCTTAGTTGCCGTAGTGAGAAATGCAAACATGATTTTATGCTGCTGGAAAAGCTGATGAATGACAAAATATGAAGCAGGTTCTAATTTCTGTAAACACTTACAGCATTGAGAGTGTATATTTCAATTACTAATTAGGAAAATTTAAAAATTTTAAGTGGCTATGCATTTTTAGTGTTAATGATAATGATAATAATCCACAAAATGTGGGCAAGTCCAACTATACAGTATTTCCTGGTTTAACCCAAAATTAAAATGTAGAGATATTGATGATATTGACAATGGTGATGGTGGCCAGGACGGTGCCATTATAGTCAATTATACCAAAAGTATATGAATGATGATCATAATGGAATTTAACAGCATCCATTTATATATTGGCCTATGCTTTTATCCTGATGCTTAAAGGCAATTTTGGTTTTTTTTTTTAGGCCGATAAAGTTCAGTACATTCTACACATCAAAGACATCCCATCAAAGGAGGCACGTAATGCAGAAATGGCGCTGTTCTGCGGCAATGCTCAAGATGCTGAGGGAATCTTACTGCAGGCCAATTTGTTGTTCAGGGCAATTATCATGAATATTAACCTGTACAATTGGGATAGGTACTAAGAGTGTTTGCTTGATATGCTTCCCCCAAGTTTGTTTTATTTATTTATTGTCATTTCATTTCATCTCATTTATTTGTCTCAAAATTTTTAATTTACAACAACAGAAACAGTAAGGTACAAGCACAATAATGAGTATAGACAGGAAAACTCCTAAAGTGAATTTGATCACTGTCGAGTGGAGGTTCTTCACAAAAATCAGATTGTATTTTTTTCGAAATCAACAGCAAATATAATTCTTTACATGCAGGTGAAAGATCAAAATAGTAATAAGAATGATATTAATTCTACTATTATCTAGGGAATATGGATAGATATAGATATTATAAACAAATAAGAAAAATATATACTGTATATATATATATATATATATATATATTTTTTTTTTTTTTTTATATGCAGTTGAACTTGCCTAAGTCGAATCCAAAATGACATTGAAATATTGTTCAACTTTGATAAAATTTGACTTACAGATCATTTATTAATGGAAAACACAACATTTTGGTATATAAAATAAGATCAAATTAGAAAATATTTCAGTTGGGCAAAGTCGACTTGGACAAGTTTAACTGTATTAGTAGTGTCTAAATTCGATTAAATACTGTAAAGCCTTTTTTACACCAAAATTGTCATATTTTCCAGGGGCTTTAACTTTTCATGTATTAATGTAGTTACTGTATTATTTAATTTTGTATGTATTTATGTATTTAATTTGTGTTTATTGTTTATTTGTTTACTTGTGTATTTATTTGCAATTGCTTTAAAATAGTTGCTTTAAAATACAGAGCTAGCCTAATAAGAAGATTTGTCAGATTTTGTATTTTTATCTTTTTGTTGTTTTGCCTCATTTTCAGGGCCTTAGAGTTAGCAGTGAAGCATAAGACACATGTTGACACAGTCCTTGCACACAGGCAGCGTTTCCTGGAAATGTTTGACAAAAAAGAAACCAGCAAAAGATTCATCAACTTTTCGCAGGAGGTACGTCATTTAAATGATAAATCATTTTTCCACTTCTGTGAATTATACTTGTGAAATCCCCAGTCTTTGGAATGATGCTTTTGGAATTCATGTTCTGAGCAGCTTAGCTCAGTCAGCTAATCCGGTGGTGTGTTGGTCCTGTGTCCATTGATGGTCCATGTGCACGTTAAAGAACGCAGTACACTCTTCGGAAAAGAGTAGGGGATCGTCTCCTGGTGTACTGCCCAATCACCACAAGAAGGACCCCACTGGAAATAAGTCTTCTTCTAGACTTTCGTGGACTATCCTTGGTGTTTACACCGAATAAATTCAATCCAATCCAATCCAGCTCCCTGGGAAGTTTTCTATAACCCGTGTGTGGTGCGATCAATCTGCATGCCGATTAAACCCTAGATCAGATTTACTCATTCATGACAATTTTACGTTTTTTGCAAAATATAAATTTAGGTCAACTGCATTTTAGAATTCAGACTTCAATTAGAACTCGACAGGCTTTACTGTATATTATAGGATGATTTCAATTAAAATTTTTAACAATTTAAAAAGAGTAAACATTGTACTTTTCTCCCTAGGTTGAAGTGAACTGGGAAAATGTTCAGGCCAAAATGGAAGCTGAATATCAACGTGAGAGAGAAGGTCCTGCATTTAAACCCTACAAGAAATAATGCCCTCAGGAGACGCTCAATGCCTCACTCTACGCATCTATATTGATAAATACTATGCCAGTGCACTGCATTGCTGAATATCAATGTGAGAAGTTCCAGTATCTAAACCCTACAAGAAATAATGCCCTCAAGAGACTCTCAATGCTTTTATACTCTACCCATCTATTTTTATAATATTGTGCACTGCATATTGAACTGTCAATGACTCCCGACATTAATATGCAGTAGTAGCTACCCATGCATTCCATAACAGCACCATTCGCTTTAATAGATTGTGTGCCATTCAGTACAATGAGTTTACAATTGCACTACATATTCAATTTAGGCTACTGGGTCAACTCTAGTCACCTTATCAGATTCTTCTTACCCCCAGTATACATGTACCAACAGATTTTTTTTCGAAATATTGATTTTATTTTATTTCTGTGTTTTGTGATCTTTCTTGACTTTTCATGCAGCCCTTCATAACCTATCCAGAAAAAGGCGCCTTTTAAATTCCATTATTATTATTATTATTATTATTATTATTATTATTATTATTGTTATTATTATTATTATTTATTATTAACTGTATAGATATGAATAGTTGAAGAGTGTCCTTTTAATGACATAAGAAGTTATGACTAATATTTTAATGAAGAAAGTCCTGTTAGCTATACTGATTGAATATATTAATTTATGATTTGTGTATTTTGTATGTGTACTGTTTGTATATAAAAAGTGTGAATAAAAATTGTTTATTGAAAAGTTATTAGAGGGCGGGAAAAAAATAAAACTAAAACTTTGTTTTCTTATTTAGCAAATAATTTTGCAAGAAACATCCAGACGTAAGAGAAAATAAAAATAACATGTTATTGGTGAATGTAAAATATAACAGTGTAGTATAATTTAAAAAAAAAAAAAATTGTGTTGGCCACGCCCGATCGACGAAAATTTTACGAAATTCGGGGTCGGCATTTTAGCTTTTTTTTTTCCCCTTGACTACAACAAACAATAATTTTTGTTATGAGCAAATAAGACCAAAATAGCCTTGGTCAGGGTAGGGGGCCAAGGCAAAGTCTATTTTACTTGATGGTACACGATGCGAATCTAAAATTGTTGTATTACCGGTATTTGTGTATTTTCCACTTTTTTACCATTTTTGGTTGTTAAAAAGAAATTTAAGAAAAGTTTTCCTACTGAAATACCAAGCTTTTGGATTTTCCCAAAACGTGGCCAACACAATTTTTTTTTTTTTTTTTTTTTTTTGCCTAATGGGATGGTTAAATGCCAGTACGGGGATCAACTATGACACTTGTCTTATTTCAGACCGTTAGTAAATCTTCATGTCATTTTATATTATAATATGATTATAATAATATATATACACTGAAAATGTTAACCTACTTTTGAATTTGAATAAACACTCATGCACTAAATAGAGTTATGCTTAATTTTTTTTTTCCCAGTATGCTTGTTACTAAATTCCGAAAATAATCGAAACTCTCCCTTGTCGTGGAAATTAATTTTCTGTGTACACCTGCTGCAGCTATGTTGTTGCTGCAGTACATAAACTTACTTAAATCAGCACAACTAACGCATCAGAGTTCATGGGAGTACATATGGATAGTTACTCTCATAATTATGTACTGGAAAATTTCCAATCAATAAATTGGGACATGTTGTGGCAAAATGGCTAATTGTAGCAAAAATTGAAATTCAAGTTATTGGTATTTTCAGATACCTGAGTATGTGATCTTTAAATTGAGTGGCCATTCATTGAAATTGGACATTTGAAGCCTAAGTTATTGGAATGTGAAAGTACAGCACTGTTAGAGTCAAGATAAACATGATTTTGAATAATTGCCTTCCAAAGTTTGCATACCGGCATTGTTTAATAGAATTAACTATCTAAATAACGTTAAATAAACGATTTGTTGACCACTTCCAAAACTAATACTTTGGGACATGATTAATAAGACATTAAACTGTTGATCTATAGTGAAAAACAAATTCGGATTTTTAGGCAATTTTTTGAGCTCCCATATTTTACAGCTCATTTACGCAATACTGGCCTGTGCGACAAGTTGTGATTCAACCTGGTTGTACTAATGGACCTTTTAGGAGTGACAATGAGATTAAACTGACCAATCAACATAGGGCCAAAATCGAAAACTTGTTTGTCCCACAAACTCGCGATGTCCATCAAACGTATATACGTACGTTTACGCTGTCCTTTGTTGGACGTCAGCAAAATAAAACAATAAATTAATGGGTTTTTGGTTGTTTTTTTTTTGGTTTTTTTTTTTTTGCAATTTTCAATTGAAAATTAATAATACTGTACACTTAGCAGTTTCAATATTGAATTATATTTTTCGCCTGTCTGTTGATGATCCGTGACTGAGTGTATTGTCTTAAAAATGATCCGTAGTGTTATGTGTTCTCCATGGGTCACGTCGCTGCACCGACGGTGTCAGCGCAAAAAACTGCAAGATTTGAATACAAACGATGCCATGACACCATGTAACACTCTAACATCTTAAGAGCATCGGGGAATGTCAGTCACTTTAATCAATAACCTTTAAAAACAAATATAATATGGAGGTTGTTGGTTCGATTCCCACTCGAATCGCATGCAATATTTTTTTTATTTTTTCACAAGTATTTGGAATGTACTGAGTACTCAGTACGATAACATGTCAGGTAGGCGAGTTACTTGCGAAATTTATCCCAAGTACCGTGTATTCAGTAGCATAACACGCGAGGTACGGCAATAAAAATTCATCCGATGATCTGCAAAAAATAAATTCGTGAAACAAGGAATAAAAAAAAGTCTCGCCTTATCGTGTTTCAGACGTGCAGGTAGACCTAGTCAGAACGAAGATCTTGTACCAAAGATACTCTTTGCTGCACCTTTGCTGGTAGGCCTAGCTAGAGCTTTGTCAGAAAGTTTGCACACTGTAGAGGGCGCAATACTTTGTTGCAGTTACTGTTTGTTGTTGTCGGTTGTTAATTAAATCAAATCGCTGATTAAGGTAAATAAAATATAAAATATTAATCATATGGAGTGCACAACTGTATACAACGATCCATAGCTTGGTTAGACCTATATAGTAGTATCCATTAGAGATTAGACTACGCACTAGAGCCTAGCCTAGGGCCAGGCCTCTCTAGTCTTAATAGCCAGCCTGACCTCTCCTCACACAGTGACTGTCACAGACTCCGCAGCAGACTGTTCCTAATGTCATGAAGTAGGCCTAGCTAGGTAGGCCCTAGCCTAGGCTATAAGGTCTAGCCTATATAGGCCTATAATAGCCCGGGCTAATACGGTTTCGCATCTGGCCTTCAAATTGATTACCAATTTTTTAACACTTACAATTATTCATAACTAGCCAATGGCAATACTGTACGAACTAGGCCTACATTCTTTAATAATAAGTAAAACAGTTAATTTCTTCCCGGTGCACCATTTTACACACCCGGCTTATATAGGCCTAGTACATGCCAACAAGTTTGCGGTGTTGCCAGAATGAATGAGTGTTTGTACTAACAATAGTACAATAGGGTGTGTTAGCCAAAGCGCGTGCCTACTAAGGAGTGGCGATGCCACCAGGGGGGCTTAAGTTAAGCCCCCCCCCCATCGGTCTGGTCAAGGTCAATTCCCCCCATCGGCCAAAGCTCGTCGGGCAGTCGGACTGAAAAGAAAATAATGTAAGCCTAATTTTTCCATCCCAGCCATTTCCGGCCATCTACTAGTCTAGAAGTCCCAATTTTTTTTTTTAATCTTGTTTTGGGAGGAGTGGTTTCCAATTAATAAGTTTTCCATTATTAACTTAATTGGAAACCATAATTATCAGATAGTAAGTGGATTATATGAAAGTCAAATCATCAAAGAACATTTTAGTGGTGATAATTGTTTTAATAAGTTTTAAATAATTTGGTAACCGTTTTCAGGGCCGGATGTGAAACCGTATTAATGCCGCCTAGGCTTAGATAGAGGCCAAGCCCATAGACCTATGTAGGTTTTCTAGCCTAGCTAGCTTGTAGGGGTCTAGGCCAAGGGTAACTTTACCTAGCCAAGGCCTATAGCTCTAGCCACTGAGGCTATATGCATGCTGATATATTAGGCATGAGCATAGCCCCTAAATGGTTACGCAGAATCTGTTTAAGATACGGCATACAAGGCGACTGGATGGCCTACTACTAACTATTACGTCGTCGAGAGGTGAGTGATGAGGACGCCAAAAAAGTCAGTTTTTGTTGGGTGGGGAGGGATTGTGTGTGTATGTGTACCCACAAATAATGTATGCTTTAATTAGTAGTAAGCTATAAAATGGTGATATTTTAAATACCAAATATACAGGTCTTAAATGAAAATATGACTTCAAATAAAAAAGTTATGACCTTTTTCATGTATTTTAACCGCTGAAGGGGGTCATTTTCCACCGCCCCCTCAATTTTCGTTTTTTGGTCGCAATGTCCTATTTTGCAACCGATTTTCTTTAAAAAAGATGTCAAAATGTTCAGGAGAATAAGCCGCTTCATTTAAGACCTGTACATTTGGTATTTGAAATTTATCACCCTTTTTTTGACCCTGTATAGCCCACATCTACTTTAATGTACTGTAGTTCATTTTCTAAAAAGTTCAAGCTAATTTCAGAAGAAGATTGAATGTGCATTTAATCACTGAATCAGTGAATGCTGCTGATTACAAGTAATTTGTAGACCTATAGGCCTACATTTTTTGAAGCGACTATTTCATTATTAATCTGGTGTACACTCGGCCTCATAGCTCAGTTGGTAGAGTGTCCGAAACATTATCATCAGGTCTTGAGTTTGAATCCTGATGGGGACATAGGTTTGTCTCAAATATTTATTATCACCTATAATTATCACCAGTGGTTCAGAGGTGTATCTCCATACCAAAAGTTACCATTATTAATAAGTTAAAGAGTATTAACTCTTCCTTATGTATATTCAAAGGTTCAAGTATTTTGTAGACGTTCTAGTAGTATTTGATGCTGCGCAATGCAGTCTCAATACTATCCCTCAAGCAATGGCTTCACACCAAGGCAACAACCTCAATCTTCCAATCATGGACCAGGTAATCTGCAACAAGGTTTCCGTTTTTCTCGCAGAACAGAGCGTGTAGACTGGCGAAAAATAGGTAAAACGTTCTTCTTAATTTTCTGGAATCTGCAATGCTACTTGAGATTTTTATGGTGGGTGGTACCAGTAGTCTAGGCTGTGTTTGCTTTATAACCAATCCTGGTTCCTTCTTTATGTGATATTACAGGCAAAGGGATGAAGGGAGGGGTGGGGGTACTTTCTCCAGTCTCTAGATTAAAAAATCTTTGAACTAATTCGAACATTTTTCAAAGCCATCTTATGTTGATTATATGGTTTCAGTGGTTTGTGTTCAAAAAAGGAATTATACAAATTTTAAAACAAGTTGAGTTGATGAATACATACTTAATAAATATCTCATAATTTTTATGACTCTATTTTAGCTGCTGTTGATATTGAGCGTATCACTGCAGATGGGGACTGGAATGTTCTGCAGCACAATATACAACATGTAACCTATTGCAACGTTGACCAGGAACTTGACCTTCGTGGCACAGACCCAACCTTTGTTAAGTTATTCAAATTAGCTCAGATGATTATTGAATACTTAATGGTAAGCAACAAGATCTGTACCCTTTCCAAGGTTGGGTCGACCGCCATTGGTGGCACCAGCAGTGGTGGGGGGTGTCAGGCAGGGGTGACGCCAGCAGGACCGGGAGGATCAGGGCCTTCGTCGGGGAAAGCTGGACTCCCACTCCCCCCCGGTCAGGGGGAAAAACCACAGTTCGTTGGGGAGAACAAAATTTTATGTATTTTCTACATATTAGTAAACTCTAAATCGATTAAGTAAACCTTTGAAACCCCTAAATTGTCAACATTTTGGGGGCTTCCCTGCCTGGACCTCTTACAAAAGATTTTGATCGACACCCAACCACGCCCTCTTTGCTCTAGTCAGGCACTTCGGCCCCCAGGGCCTGGGAGCCCCGTCGGGCAAATCCTGGTGCCACCGCTAGGGCAAGGACGTAGTCACATTCCCTTTACTTTGGTTTAAAAACAAAAATTGGGCCATACTAAGCCATAAACACTCTTCCTGTGAACCGTACCAGGGATTGTAATTCCAGGACCCTGACCAGGGCTTCAGTTGCGGCCCCCTCCATTCAGACCTGTCTTTTTTGTTTCTGGGCCGCCACAAGGATCACAGGAAAGAGTGTGTTTTTGACTCTGGATGACATTTTGCTGCCTGAATTTTTATTTGTTATTAATGAAACATTTTTTTGTATAATTCACCCCTACATAAATATTGTCACTATAGAAATTATAAGCGAAAATCTTAATGCATTAATGATATTTAAGTATTTTATAATAATAATACCATATTTTTCTAAATGATTACTAATGGTTGAATTCACTTCCACATACTCGCTTCCCATTTTATTGCGACACAAAAAAAATACATTTTCACTGATTTAGAGACTTTTTACATCATGCTTTAGCAATACAAATGTACATAGATTACGCCGCGAAGATTTGGAACTTTGTAGAATCGGTGCATAAAAAATACTTTTTCTTTCAAGTAAGCTTCAGTTCTTTAATAACAATACTAAAAAAAATCATAGTTAGTAGGTTTTGGTACTATGTAGTCTTCCGAAAGATGAAGTTTATTTTAATATCAATCCCGAAATACATGTAGGCTGTCTCTTATACACATCTAGATGTGTATAAGAGACAGATTACACACAGTATAAATGACAATTTAAGGACCGTCTTATAGTTCAATGTTATTATTTAGTTATGTGCCTATTAATTTACATTGACAGTACTAATTTCTAATTCAATTTTTCATTTTACTAGTAATACTGATAAATTAATTAAAACAAAAAAATTCTGAATGATATTCTACTTTACTAGGTTGATACAGATTCTCTTTAAAATGTAACTTATTTTGTTTTCCAATTTTTTGCAGATATCTCAAGAACATCTTGGAAGTGTTGTTAATACATTGGAGCAGAAATTATTAAAAGCGGTGGAAGCTCACAATAACACAACTGTTAAAATCAACAAGCAAAGTGAAGAAATAAAGCAATTAAAACAAGAAAACAAACTAAGGAGAAAAATGTTAGCAAGTCAACAGAGCTTTATTCAGTCCAATGAAAACAACTACCATAAAGTAAGTGCATTCAGGGACATAGGCAGAGGGAGAAAAAAATGCTGAGGAGGAAAGCCAACACATTGTGGATGGGGTAGGGCATTGGCCTTGAGATATTTCGGTTTTTAGATCCTCTGAGATGTCTTCTCAGCCATTTTCATGCAACTTTTTTTTCTAATGTCACAAAACCATAAAGTTACTAAGATTACTGGCTGAGTTCTATTTTAAACACTGGTCTTGTTCTGTAGTCAGTGTAAACTGTGTACCATTAGGATGTCCACTGAGTTTAAGTACAAATTGTATGAATGTAGCTGCAGTCTGAGTTAAACAATGTGCATGCTTTGTTTGAAATTTTTTTAGATACTTACACAGTTTACAAATAGTATGGATATCACTCCAAAAATTGTCAAGGCCATTTTATTCAACGTTTCGCTTTTATTTAAACAGCATAATTCCTGATGATGCTTTAAATAGAAGCAGCTACAGCCCTGACATTTATATCAATAACAGTGATAATGACAATAATAATATGCAAAAATATTAAGAAATCTTATACTAATATAATATTAGAAATATAGAACATGATTTTGTTAATTAAATAAGCATGTGTTACCCAAGCCCTTACTGACATAATCTAGGTTGTTTTTCTTTATCAATGGTTAAATTGATGGACGAATTGATGCATCATTGAAAATATACAAAACTTATACTTAGATTATCAGTTAAATTGTTTAAATTTTCTTCTTTTCTAAGTGCTTGTACTGCCCAAAAGCTTTTGTTCATGTAAGCTACCTGCATGCTCACGTTGAAAGGAAGCACCCAGAACATAGTACAACACAGGAATCACAATATAAATTAGCTAATGAGAAGCAAGAACTCGAAATCGGTGAACTAAGGGAAAAGCTAAAGATGACACAGCGACAGTTGGAAGAGGAGGCAGCAACATACCAGAAAAAACTAGCAGAAAAGGTAAACATGTGTGACATGCTTCATGAAAGATTATAAAGTTGAAAAAAGGAGTGTTTTTTTAAATGAACATTGAAGTACAAATAATATGAATGCCACCCCAAAAAAGGCCATTTTATTCTATGTTTTGCTTTAATCATTAATATGCATTTATTTAAATGAGGAAATCATCCAATCAGAGGAAAGTAGGTATTGTGATGAGAAAGTATATTGAAAATAGATAGTAAAATTAATAATTAATTAAATTTAATTCTGTGGCTTGCTCTTAAGCCACTATTTAAACCTGACTTGTTTACATAAATAGCATAATCTTCTCTAAGTAGTAGTAAGTTTTTATTTTTATTACAAGCATCTCAATGGTTGTAGTGTTCTTAAAAACTGTTAATAGAAGATCTGAATTACATAATTCATGTTGACATGATTCAGGTTCATATATATTAGGGAGTTTCAAAATACCCATTATATGTTTAAAACCACCACAATTATGATAATTGTTCATGTATAACACTATCTTTTCCTTTGCAATTTTCATTAATTCTTGTGATCTTTCTGTTTTTCCAATGTACTCTTCGTTAAATCCTGGGCATTTAAATCTGTAAACAACATTACTTTGTAAAGCATAATATGTTGAGTCATTGGTGGATGTGAAATTGGAAATTTTCTTAAATGCCATATAGTGATGTTCAGTAACATTTACTTTTATCACTTCCTTTTGTGCCTATTTTCAATTGTAATTGAAGCCATATTGCTGGCTAGAGAGTGATATTATTTATTTTGATTATACGGTAGGTATTATACAAATACTACTTTTTTTTTAGGTGAAGTCTAGTAAATTCTACTCTATGAGGTGTTGGATGATTTGGACTATCAATTCCCTTTGTAGTCCAAATCATCGACAAAGGGGGAAGTAGAATTCACTGCTATACCAAAATAAAACCATGTTGAATTTGTTTTACTATTCCTCATGATTAATTTATTCAACAGCAAACCATCTGTGTACATTAGCCATTTTTATTTGTGGGGATAAATTTACTTAGTTCACATGTAGGGGTGTGGTAGTTGATTTTGAGTAGTACTTTTCCCCCACATACGCATGAATTTGGCATGCTAAGGGAAATAGAATAAACTACCTCATTCTTTATCTGGTGGGATTGACCAATGAAATGCTGTTATTACCTATAAATTGTATTTATGAGGAATAGCAAACTTGGTTGTCAAATGGTTGACTGAAAGTAGTGATGTGATTTTTTTTTAATAAACTTAAAATGTTTAGGAGGCCTTAGAGAAAGAGACGCAAGACCAGTTTGAGAAGCATCAGCTAGATATTATCAGACAAGAGCAAATTGAAGCTCAAAAGGTATGTTACCTAGTATCAAAATACATGGAACTCGGCACTTATATTTCTAATCTCAAAATGTCATAGAAAACAACATGAGAATATGTATTTAGGGGGCTTGGCAGTCAACGTGTTAAATGGTTCAGACTTATCAAATTTTATTGTGTTGTTCAAATTTTATCTCATTCTGTTGCAGCATGAAATGAACAGTCTACGTGATATGTTTATGAAGGAATTAAAAGAAATGAATGAAAAGTACTCGGAATCCCAGCATGCATTAGTGGATCTCCAGCAAAGATACGGTAAATAATAGAAAAATAATGAATTCTGATGAGTGCAATAGAAAGAATATTTTTATGAGTTAAAAGATGAACTATTACATTCAATTTAGAATATACAATAGTATTTAGCCAAAATTATCATCTTTAAATTTTATAAAATTGAATTTGGCTACATGCTATAGAATATAACAGTAGCATTTTACCAAAATACAATAAAATCTAATTTTACATAATTATATTAACATACCCATCAATGTTATAGTTTCTAAATGCAGATAAAGTATCTAGTAATGGTCCAGTTTCTCAATTTGTGGAGGACTTTGGCCAACTTTTAATATACAGCCAATGTACAGTAGTTGTGATTCTTCGTACTTTTTTTTCTGTCAATTTTCCACACGAATTTGAGTTAGCTTTTGATGCATCTCCTGTCCAAATATAATATTTTACAGCTTGGTACATGCTACCTGTACATCAGTGTAGCATATAGTATTGTAACACACAAGAGTATTGCTCTGTAATTAATGTGTGTTTCAGGTAAAACATCAATGTTAGGAACATTACAAGATGAAGATGAGATTGCTGAATACAAAGAGAAGTTGCATGATCAACATGTAAAGTATGACAGGTTAAAGAAACGATTAGAAGAAGAAGTAAGTTGATATTTATTGTCATAGTTATCATTTACATTTCTTAAGACAAGGGGGAAAATAAACCCTTCAAGGATTCTTGAGAGTTAGAGGTCTAGGGGGTGATTATGTACACTGTTGAGTTCCAGGGCGATAGTTTTGATGAGTTTCTGGTTAAAGTATGTGTTCAAGCATTCTAGCATGTAAATTGATGAATTTTATAACCATTTTAATAGTATTTGATGCAAAAAGAGATTGTTTAACCGAATCATAAAACCCTCTAGTTAACTGGACTGCAACTTGAATAAAAACTGTCTTGGAACTCTGAGTTCAAGTTGAAGTTCAATCAGTTTAAGATTACAATTTTTGGATTTGTTGTGACTTACCGGTATCAATAACATTTGCCTTGCTGGTTGGGTTATTGTTTTAAAAAATTTAAGAACTTTTTTTTTCATCACAGGAAATTAATGTGGGCAATCAACGATTGCCTATCATAGACATTGCTCTCATAATAATTGTAAAAAATACAATGAGGTTTGATGTGGACTAGTGAATTTTACTTCCCGAAGGGTTTTTCAACAATGAGGATAATAGAATTGACTGCTTTACCGATATATAACAATGCTGTATTTGTTTTACTATACCACATAAAGATTAAGCAGCAAACCACCCATTTACATTAGCCATTTTGATCAGTGAGAGTAAACTTAGACATTTTACATGGCTAATGTACCCAGGAATGCGGTTGTCAATTGTTGGTAGTATATTTTTCACTGTGTATGCTTATATTTGGCATGCGCAGGGAAGTAGAAACTACAGCACCCCATACTGGGTGGAATTGACCAATGAAATGTTATTACCTAATTAATATTTATGAGGTATAGTAAATATTGATATCAAATGTGCCATGTGAGTAATTTCTGCTGCGTGTAAAATTTTAGGTAACCTCAATGAAAAGTAGCATGCTTCAAGAAATGAAAAAGCAAGATAAAGATTGGAAAGAAAAAAATAAAGAAGTAAAACATATGTACCGCAAAAAAATAAGTAAATTGGAAAATGCTTTGGAGGATGCTAAGAGGACAATGGTTATGGAGAGAGAGGGCAGCAAAGATGAGATAAGACAACATTATGAGCAACAACTACTGAGCATGAAAAAGGTAAAATATTTGGAAAGTATAACAATATGGCATAAAGGTTTCCCTTTAAATCTACATAGAGAGTGTATGGATGGGTGGGCTTCTTAAACCGGGCTTAACTGTGTTGTATACGGTCGTTCAGTGCACAACGTATCCAACTTCGCTCTTTGTGAGCGCTAGACGACGTGATGCAGTCTGAACATCTCGTTACATTCTAACTCCGCTCTCTGTGAGCGCTAGACGACGTGATGCAGTCTGAGCGTCTCGTTACATTCTAACTCCGCTCTCTGTGAGCGATAGACGGCGTGATGCAGTCTGAATGTCTTGTTACATTCTAACTCCTCTCTCTTTGAGCGCTAGACAACGTGATGCAGTCTGAACGTCTCATTTCATTCTTCATAGAATCGTGTCGGCCGACGACCGTCAAGTGCAGTGTCTGCCCGGCTTTAGATGTAGGTTGGGTGGGGCTAGTGCATAAGTCATTAAAGTAAAATGTATTTCAAAGGATATTTTTTGGATTAAATTATGAATTGATATTAGTAGAATTTTTTTTAAATTTTTACTATCAGAAATCTAAGCAACAAGAACAAGAACTAAAAGCCAGAGAAAAAGAAATCAGTGAACTACAGAAGAGAATGGTATGTTTCTTTTAATTAGTGCAATGCATCTTAAGGCAAGAATTTTTTATAACCTCTTTAGTGAATCTGCCACCCAGCAATAATGATAATTTCGAATAAAAATAAAATTTTATTTTTAGCCAATTAACGCTCTGCTTAAAAAAAAAAAATTGCAGGAAAAAAAAATGTTTTCTTTATTTTTATTACACCTGTCGCTACCCTAATATCTCTAAAAATAAGATGTATATTTCTCCCTATATAAATTCAAAGCATTTAATGATCCCATTTCTACACCAATAAAACAAAACAAGGTATAAAAAGTTCTCGCCCAATCACTGGATGTTTATAATGTGCCCCTTTCTCTTTTTTAATTTCATACTTCCTCGAACAGGTTTCACTATCATCGGCATTTTTAAAAGCATACTGTATTATTACCTTAAAGTTGTTGATGTTTACAGTTTAGTTGACCCCCGAACCAATCCTTTCTGTATCATTTCGGGTTATCTTTTCAACTCTTCTTTGATCTACCTCGTTGCCTTTACCTATTCCTGGGTATCCACTCACTTGTTTTTCATGCCCAGCTGTTATCACTTTTTCTCATAACTGTTAATTACATAACATCTTATCAAATTAATGTAAGCTCACGGTGTATGGATTTGTTTGATGCATTAACCATTCACATATAAAAAGAGGGCTTACTGTACGATTGTGTAAATACCCAAATGCATATTTTCTGTGTCCTTTTGTAAATTATTTTTGCTTTTGTTTAAACTAGAAACAAGCTGTGGATCAAGTTCAAAGTTTGGAGGTTGAAAAGAAAGCCAGTCAGCGCCAAGCTGCAAAGGTTACGCACTAGCTGTTATTTCAATTTCAATTAATTCAAGAACCTCCAAAACAGAAATATAACATTTTACTTTACTGGGGTTTGGGTTTTTAATATTTTATTAATTATTATCTTGATTGAATCTTGGGGATTTTAATATTTTATAAATTACTATTTTGATTGAATCTGAATCTTAACAATGAAAATATATATTGACACCACCGATCCTCAAATTTGACACTTTCACAAGTGTATCAAAAAATACCTTGAAACATCTTACATTTATGACATTGTCTTTGACATCCATTACACCTGTTAAATTGACTCCAACATTTCTTACTCCCATGAAATATTTCTTTTTTATTCCCATTATATTGATGTATAATATCATCAGTCAATCATTATGACTGTATAAAAATATTATATCGATTTAAAATATCATTTCATATGTGACCGGCTCTGGCAAAACCAGCCATTTGTCAGATAAATTCTAAATTGAGTTTTTTTAATTTTTAGATTCTGCATGAATTCATCTTTAAAACAGTGTTATTTTGATTGTAACTGGTTGAGTAATAGTGAAGTTTTGAATATTTAATGCATTAGATATCAGCCATGTAGGTTTTTGAGAGAACACAGCTCAAAAGATTACAAAATCATTAATTTTTATTAAGATTTGTATTTTAAAAATAATTTTCAGTTACATTTAGTGATTGATATTTTGAAGGAATATTCTGCAATATATCTTCTTTTATAAAATACAAGAATTTGAAAATGTTCAAAATTCTGATTGTCAAACATTTTTGGTTGCCTGTGCAAAATTAGAAATTGCAACATCCGGGCTAGTTTTACCAAAACCAGTCACATATTATATTAGTTAGGCCTATATATATTTAAATTTTAATAGCATATGGATATTACTTGTTTGATTACACTTGAATTGGATTTTAACTTAAAATGGAAATCTTATCTTTTTTTTACATTACTAGTTGCAGCAATCAAATAATACACGTGGACGTATATTATCCCCACCCCCTGAAGTAAAGACACAGCCACCAAGTTCAACAGAAGAAGAGGAAACAGATGAAGATGAAGAGTCAGGTGATATGACTGAAATAGAATTAAAAAAATCAACATGTCATTTAAATTTATTATAATCATTGTCATAATTATCGTTACTATAGTTACCATTTTCATCTACATAATTATCAACAGTATTTTCATAGTCGGTATCATCAGTGTGGTCGTCATTAGTATACATTATGCTCATCATCAGTATCATTATCTTCATCATTATTGTCATTATCATGATCATAATCAACTTCAGCATCAGTGTCCTCATTATAATTATCTTCCTTGTCATCATCATCATCATCCTCATCATCATCATTCATTACTATAAATTATACCTTTCACAGTTTCTTTTAAATTTTGATTATAATGCTTTTCTAATTGAGTTCAGCATTTGTTAATAATACTTTATTTATATAATATCATAAAATAAATGTCACACTAGAAATAATAATAAAAATAATAATGCAGTATAAATTAAGGAAATAGTGGCGTTTACTAACCAAATATATTTTCTAATATATATATATACCCCTGCACAAATCATGCAACAGAGGGAGTAGGTAAAATGCATGTAAGTTCCCCTGATGCTCCAGAAATGTATGGTACATTAGAAGACTCAATGCTAAACACAGACGAAAACGATGATGATGGTGAGGGTTATACATGTCCAGTGTCTATTGTCTATTTTTTATATGCAGCTGCACTATCTGGGACACTTCAACCTGAATTCTCTTAAAATAGAATCCTTACTTGGTCACATGATCACATTATTGTAATGTAAGCCAAAAAATATCCATATTACCAATTTACCACCAAAAATTCATTTGGTAAGTGATGGCTGGCAAAGATCCAAATTTATTTACTTCATTTATTTCTTCTTTACACTGAGTGACCTGGTCAGTGCAAAAACACTATTAAAAAAAAAAAAGGACTATAAAAGCAAATTTTAAGAAAAAGTCCATGTCGGATTGACAGATCACAGGCAATCACGAAAAACTGCCAAATGGTATGCTGGCCCAAAATGTAATGATGTGGCTGTGTGGGAATTGTTCTTTAAATCATTGTTTTCACACTCTTAATTTTAATCTTCTTATCAGCTGCAATGTTGCCTGGATATTACTACTGTATTTGTACTATTTTATTTTTGTGTATGTTTTAATTTGTAAATGTGTTTGTTTTTTTAAAATTTACAGTATACTTATTTAATGATATTTATAATTTGCATTAATTGTGATGGTTATTAATTCTGTACTCTTCTTTATGCAGCTATGGTTAAATGTTTGTTTTTGAGGAATTTTTAAACATTTCTTAAGTACTGTATTGGTCTATATGTATTCTGTCTGCTTTTTCTTCAGAAGATGAGTACAGTGCTACATCTTTGCCACAGAGAAAACAAAGAGTTGCAACCTTAGGTAGACTCTTATTATTATAATGAGTGATAGCATGTTTAATAACAATTTGACATCAATACATTTACATTGTTTTTAAACCCTTGTTTGTACCAAAATCCATTTATTCATACCAGTTATTAAATGACTATTGTATCCCAGTTGAGACTACCATAATGTAATTTAGTGACAGCCATATGCCAGTTAGTGACTGTCATATGTCAGTTAGTGACTGCCATATTCCAGTTAGTGACTGCCATATTCCAGTTAGTGACAGCCATATGCAAGTTAGTGACTGCCATGTGCCAGTTATTGACAGCCTTATGTAGGTTAGTGACTGCCTATGCAAGTTAATGACTGCCATATGCATTTTAGTAACTACCATATGCAAGTTAGTGACTGCCATGTGCCAGTTAGTGACTGCCTTATGTAGGTTAGTGACTGCCTATGCAAGTTAATGACTGCCATATGCATTTTAGTGACTACCATATGCAAGTTAGTGACTGCCATGTGCCAGTTAGTGACTGCCTTATGTAGGTTAGTGACTGTTATATCCAAGTTAACTACCATATGAATTAGTGACAGTCATATCCTAGTATAATGAATGTTTAAGTTAACTTCCTTCATCAGTTTCATCTTTTGGCATCGTTTTTCATTATTTGATACTATTTTGGTTTAACTTTAAGATGGCCTAAAATTGTTATATTAAATTTAAATAAGGATTAGTTCTACTAATACCTTTCCTTCTCTCCTTATGTTTTAATAATACAGCATCAATAATATTCATCACCTTCTCTATGCTTTCTATATAGTTAACCTCTGTATAAACAGCTATACGCATAATAATACCCTGGAATTACAGTTAAACTTGATTAACTCAAATAATTTCTAAGTCGATCTTATTTTACATGCCAAATTGTTGTGTTTTCCATTACTTAACGACTGTAAGTCGAATAATTTTTCAATGCTATTTTTTATTTGACTTATGCAAGTTCAACTGTATTTCTATTTGTACTGCTGTTGTTTCAGTGCAAACATCCATCCGTTTTACATTTCCACATTCACATCTTACATGGTTCCTATTAAATGAATAGAGATCAATTTTCATAGTATCGATTACATATGAACACAAACAATGTAACCAGCTTCAAACACCCTCACCCACGCTTTTGATTGAACCCCCTAAAAGGCTTTATTGCACTTTCTGTTTATTTTTAATAATTTTATTCCTTCCTTTGTGAAAAAGTAGAAGACATAAATCAGATTAATCAATCTGACAGTAATTTATTCAATAGGTCAATCAATCAAATGTTCTTTTTTTCTAAATATTAGGCATGAATTTTAACATGATAATACTAGGAAATTTATGAACTGGCCAAGTATAAAATTTCCAATTTTGTTAATCCGGGAACACACTGTGTCAACAGTCTTCGTCTGACACAATTCAATGGTGACTGCAATGCGATAATGCGTGCATGATGGATTGTTGTTCAAAAACGATCCTATCAGAGTGCCGCCAACAATTAGTAGATGATGTCGCATTGTCAAGTGCTTACTCAGAGTGAAGAGTGGCTTTGTTGTCCAACAGTGTGTGCCCAGCTTTTAATGTTTATTTTGTCTTGCTGTGTACCAAAGACCTTTTACAAGATAGTACGCGTACAAATAGAAGCGTCGATGTTCAGTAAAAAGGGGCATCAAATGTAATTGTAATTGAGAGGGCGTCCTAGTTGTTACTATGGCTGTTGTTCCAGAATTTGCACGTAGATCATAAATGTCAAAGTTCAAAAGTAATTGTAATTACCGAAGGGCGCCCTATGCTGCGTTGTTACAGATATGCACGTAGAAATCTCGGAGAAAACTATTTTGCAATTATAAGATCTTTGTTGTGTACTCATTCTTGTTTGCTTATGCATTAATGTTTGGATTTTCTTTAAAGTTTTCTCCGGAGGAAAAAAAAATTTATATGTGTATATGCTGATTTTTCTAAGACAAAAAAGAATATTTAATGAAAAATTTGGGAATGGTTAATGAGATACAGAGTTTTGAATATTCAAAAACTGAAGGAAAAAAGGGTGGTTATGCCCATTTCCCCCCCCCCCCCCCCAGTTTTTAAATATTCAAAAATCTTTATCTCATTAGCATTCCCAATTTTTTAGTGAAGTATGCTTTTTCTGTCTTAGAAAAATCAGTTCTACAACATAATTATCAAAAAAATGTTTTTCTCTGGAGCCTGACTTTTTTCTGCGTTTTCTCAGTAGCATGAAAGAGAAATCATTCTATACACATCTCATGTCTTCCTTTTGTGCATTTTGACCTTTTTTTTTGTATGTTGCATTATCATAAATATTTTCTACATAAAGATGCTATGATTGGAAAACTCAAAACTTTAGTTATCACAACGGATTATATAAAATGTCACCCTTCCAGTCGGAAGACTGATTAAAAACAAATTAAGATAAACTTTATTGTTATAGTCACATGAAGGTGACATGAACTTCAATTGCTTAATGTACTGACACTGTGCTACAAGTGTAAACAATGTTTTTTAAGTGTCTGTTAATTGTCATGGACACTATTTTTTTTATTTTGTTTTCAAATAAAAGCTAAACACTGCACTGCAGTTTTCCTTAGCATGAAGACATTACATTATATTTTATTTATTTTGTTATGGATTTTTGGACTAGCACAGTTTGTAGGCAGTCCAGATCAAATTTAATTTTATTTATTTATTTTTTTATTTTGTTGTTCATTATAATTTTAATTAATAGTATATAATAATCAAATTCTGTTCAAATGTAAACTGATGAAACAAATTCAACAAATACAGAAACATATATAATAATATTAAACAAATATATGATACACATTAAAGTCAAAAATAAAAATCAAATTAATTATTTCCAAATCAATTAACATAAAGTATTTTAATTAAACCATTAATTAAATTCAATACAATACTAGTATTGTGTTATATTGAATTTAATTAATGGTTTAATTAAATACAATACTAGTATATGAAATGAAAATAAGTATAAGAAATAAAATAATTTGATCAAAGGAGCATATTTAAAACATTAACACATAATACATGGATTTTACTCAAATTACATTAAAAAGTAAAATCACATTATAATTATTTAATAGTTAAGTTAAATGCCAAGTGGTTAAGGCAAGGGACTGCAACTTACAGCTTGTTTGAGCGGGAAGTGGTGGAACAAGCCTTCTTCGATAGAGTTCCAATGTTCATTGATTTTCTGCCTTTTTATTGATACATTTTGTATAACTTTTTTATAGATTCTCATCCAAACAAAACAAGGATTATTGATGGCATGAAAGTTACATTGGATTCAGAACTTACAAAAAATCTTCAGAAAAGAGGTGTTGGCAAGGTATTTACACGTCTTTTAAAATATTAATTTCAATTTAATTTTATTATGTATCTGACCGGTTCTGGCAAAACCAGCTGTTTTGTAGGAAAAATTCAAATTCGAGTTTTTGGTATTTTCAAATTCGGCATGAATTATTCTTTAAAACAGTGTTCATTTGATAGAAATTTGTTAAGTATTATCAAAGTTATGAATATTTATTTCATTGGATATCAGCTTTCAAAGACTCCAAAATCAATAGTTAATTATTAAGATTTCTATTTTTTTTAAATAATAATTTTGATATACTTTTCAGTTAGATTAAGTGGTTGATATTTTTGCAGAAATATTTTTCAATATATATTCTTTTATAAAATGCAAAAACCTGAAAATGTTGAAAATCTAATCCTCAAACGTTTTGGATGTTTGTGCGAAATTAGAAATTGCGACAAATGACCGGTTTTTCCAGAGCCAGTCGCATGGAATGGCAGCCGAAACTGAATGATATTTACATGGAAGTAAATTCATTAAAGCACAATTATATTAGAATAAAAAAAAGCAAACTTGTGTACAAGAAAGAGGCAAGATACAAAAAGTTAAAACTAACAAAAATAGATCACATCATATTGTTTCAAATATAAATTATGTAATCTTCCATCAAAAAAAAAAAAAAAATCTTTTGAAACACTTCAAGCAATTGTTACCAGAAAACTTGTTCCAGATCATACAAACAAATAATACTTAGTTTAAATCTTCTGATGAATATTAAACAGAAATTAAGGAGACAGGAACAAATACTTGATCATTCTGAATATATACTTTTGAGAAGAGAATACAGAGCCCTCAACATTATGTGATATGTTTACAATATCTAATGAAAACTGTACATGGGCAGACGATTTGTTTATCATTGTGTTAGAAGAAAGGTTAGCTTGCCAATGCTAGTGTGGTCATGTAAACAGAAATATTGGCAGTTTATACAGTAAGTAGCCTCTTTTGACTGAGGTTTTCTGATGATATACACTAGGTCATTTATATGGCCAATGGTATAGTTATATTATCGCTGTTTTATCATTATTGCACTATTTTTATCAATTCTGTATATTATTATTGTTATTTTTTATTATTTTTTTTACTTGCTCTTATTTTCTTTTATTCATTTTCAGAATGCGGAAGGTATTACATCTCGTTCATTGGAGAATAAACTCCAGGTCCTAAAAAAGGAACGACAGGAGCTTGCCAAGAAATATCCGAAGTTCTATGACATACGAGAGAAGTGTCGCCGCGACATGGAGCTGATGTCAAAAGATAGAGCAAAGGGCAGGAAACCCACAATGATGCAACCAAAATCATGTGAGTGTATTACTTTCAAAGCAATAGTTTCTGTTTATTTAAGTTAATTCAAAGTTCAAAGTAATTTTATTGTCAATAGTACAACTAGGTAAAATTGAAATTTGATCTCCTTGGATACAAAAATGGAAGGTACACAAAAAGACATAGTCAAGATTAAACATTAGAAAAAGACATAAAATAAAAATGATCATAAATGCAGATATGAAATGGTAAAAAGTGTACCATTAAAAAATGGGAAAATTATGTAATAAAATACATAAGGCTTTTTTTTTACAAATGGTACTGTTTAAGCATCCTCAATTTGAATTTCAAATTAATTTACTCTAATTAGGATTAATATGAACAATAATACAAAATGTGTATTAAGATCCTTCTTAGATTAAGGTCGCTGTCCATCTGTATGTTATGAAATTATATCCAGTCACTTGAGCCTAGGACGATTGAATTAAAAGGCAGCACCTTAACTGCAAACCAGAGTTACACTTTGTTTATTGTAAATAGGAACTATAATAACGTAGTGGCATTATATGACTTAGTTGTTTACAGATAATACAATTTTATTCTACCATCCTGGTAATAGAGACTAATACAGCATATGGCATTCCCAATCAGCTTTCAGTTATTTTAGTTTATCATATTTGAAGTCCAAAGATTTATTATTTGCTGTGGTTTTTTTTTTTTTTTGTCCACACATAGATTGATAAATATAACATGATATATAATACTTGTGTTTCAAAAACAATTTAATACGAACAATTATAGCAAATATAAAATTATACAGTTAAGTTTCGTATGAAAGAAGTTCAAATATTCTTTTGCAAATGTATTTTGCAAATTCTGAGTTTTAAATAGTTATTGATGTGTATATTACCTTTGTATACAGCGGTGAGCCTGCCACCTAGATCGCCATCACCATTTGCTAAGTACAACCAGAGACTCTCCAGCACTGCTTCCCTACCAAGAACTAAGTCATCAGATATTACACACCAGGGTATGTATGGTGTACCCAAGACAAAAAACACCGGACCTCCAGTTGCTCCAAGAGATTCCCAGCCTCCCCCTGTAGCTCCACGTAGTCCGGATTCACGGAACAATCTACAGCCACGTGCAAAAAGCGCATTGAAGGAGAGCTTTTCAAGGTATTAAAACTTTAAATATGTGACTGGGTTAAAGAAATTGCTGCTTTTTGAAAATCTTTAGTTATTACATTTTTCACACTTTTTTTATCTTTTTTGTGTTTTTTTTCTGTAACTCACTGGTTAGTGCTGGTCACATAGTAGATTATCACATAGCTGATTTATCACACCAAAAGTCCTCTTCCAAGCCTCAGTAAAGAGACTTTATATTTATATACAATGTAATGCTCTGTATACATCAGGCTTTTTGTGAACAAGTATCTGTGCATTACCTATATGGGCATGTGATTATGTCATGTCACATCCATATTTGGGCAAATTGGGCAGTTTGTGTTCACATAATTCATGAAGGTGTTTTAAAGAGCCCTCCCAAATCTTTGCTTGATCATCTTTTCTGCATTGTTTTTCTTCAATTATCTTACATGTATAATTATATGTATTGTTTCTTCAGTGAGGAGGATGATTTGTCATCAACAGGTGATGATGATAATTGGGATTCAGAGGAGGTGAGTGAGTTGAAGGAAATAAGTCCAAGCAAGACAGCAGCTGGTGGGAGCGGGGTTAGGCCTACATCTTCCCAGAGGCAAGACCCTTCTGGACATCAAATGCAGGTAAGGTTTTCCATCATTAGTAACACACAATCTATGTAGCATATTATCTAGATTGGCCTAAATTGGCCTACAAGATCCTTGGGCTAAACACTGCATCATGTACACTATATTGATTGATTAATAAATTTATTAATTCATTGGTATTACTGATTGATTGATTGAATCTTTAAGCTGTTTTTGTGCAACCTTACATTTCTCTAGAGGGCTACAATACTTCCATTTGCCATATCCTACCTAAACCATACTTCATATACTGGAGAGAGAAAAAAAATACTTTTTCAAGAATATACATACATAAAATCATTTATATAGCGCTATTTTATGAAGATAAGAGCGCTCAAAGCGTGGACTAATAGCTCACAGTAACTTTCTTCTCCTTGGAGGGTGTCTTCGTGCCTGAGGCCTGGTAAACTGGTACCAGCTACTCTCGTCTGTCCACAACAAGGGCTGTATGGACCAGTACACCGGGGGAACCCCCTACTCTTCTTGAAAGATGTACTGGGTTCTTTATAGTGCACATAAGCCAATTGTGTACACAGAGCCTACTGTTTATAGTCCGTATCTGAGAAGACTTAACTCCTGAACGATAGGCGAGCGTGCTGTTTGAACCAGCGCTGATCGCTCTAGGTTGCGGTGCCCCTGCCTTAACCGCCCGGCTGTTCCTCTCGCCGAGGACACGGTTAAAATGCCCAAAGTAATTTGAACCTCTGACCTAGCTTGTAAACCCCAACCCCTGCACCAACTGCATGATTTGAGACCTCATCTGTAACAGACATTTTAACAAGTCATTGCATGTACATGCTAAGTAAAATAATCAGCTCTCCACCTTTCATTTTCAAACAGTCTTTGCATGCATTCCTTAATAATTCATTTTTCCATCTCATGAATATTCATTATGATTTAGTCACCTGACATGATGATGGAGAGTTTGAGTGATACTGGTGGTCAGAGCACAGGCAACTTTGATACAAAAAGTGTAGGTAGTATTTAATTCATCGTTCTTATTTTGCAAAATGTATGGCTATCCTATTCTACCTGCATAATTGCAAATAGGTAAGAAATAGATATCTTTTAACCTGTGTTCTGTACAAAAAAAATGTTTAACTAAAGGTTTGTAATTAATGCATATTAAGAAAATACATTTTTATTGATTTAACATTTTTGAACAAGTCTTTTGTACTTCCTCTATGTGTGTGAATATTAAGCATTGGCTTCTTAATGTATCTGAAAATTCAATAACAGTCATGAGCTAAAACCAAATTTGGGCTAGACCTAAATGTTGGTTTTCTGCAGTTAAATTATGTAATTTAACTGTTCCTGGTTCACCTAATTGATCCCATTTGCTATTTAAGGAAGCCCTGGCTATTTATCATCTTAAACCTAAAATAAACTGTGGTCTCAAAGCTTATAAGCCTGGTTCACGTCAAACTTTATCAAGATATACGCGTCTTGGAACATGATACAATAATCTCCTAATTGCGTTCGATGCCAAGTTAGAGCCAGATAAACAGCCAGCCAGTTTCAGGCCGTCGACGTCACACGGTCGAAAGGCTTGTTTAATAAAACATCTACTGTATTTTACGAACCTCTAGTACCAAGTGGTATTCGTTCAAAACAAATTGTAAACTACTCTAGAGAAGGTGTGAGTTTCCACTACCTAACCTAGCCGACCAGTATGAACCAGCAGCACCTTAACTGCAAACCAGAGTTACACTTTGTTTATTGTAAATAGGAACTATAATAACGTAGTGGCATTATATGACTTAGTTGTTTACAGATAATACAATTTTATTCTACCATCCTGGTAATAGAGACTAATACAGCATATGGCATTCCCAATCAGCTTTCAGTTATTTTAGTTTATCATATTTGAAGTCCAAAGATTTATTATTTGCTGTGGTTTTTTTTTTTTTTTGTCCACACATAGATTGATAAATATAACATGATATATAATACTTGTGTTTCAAAAACAATTTAATACGAACAATTATAGCAAATATAAAATTATACAGTTAAGTTTCGTTTGAAAGAAGTTCAAATATTCTTTTGCAAATTCTGAGTTTTAAATAGTTATTGATGTGTATATTACCTTTGTATACAGCGGTGAGCCTGCCACCTAGATCACCATCACCATTTGCTAAGTACAACCAGAGACTCTCCAGCACTGCTTCCCTACCAAGAACTAAGTCATCAGATATTACACACCAGAGTATGTATGGTGTACCCAAGACAAAAAACACCGGACCTCCAGTTGCTCCAAGAGATTCCCAGCCTCCCCCTGTAGCTCCACGTAGTCCGGATTCACGGAACAATCTACAGCCACGTGCAAAAAGCGCATTGAAGGAGAGCTTTTCAAGGTATTAAAACTTTAAATATGTGACTGGGTTAAAGAAATTGCTGCTTTTTGAAAATCTTTAGTTATTACATTTTTCACACTTTTTTTATCTTTTTTGTGTTTTTTTTCTGTAACTCACTGGTTAGTGCTGGTCACATAGTAGATTATCACATAGCTGATTTATCACACCAAAAGTCCTCTTCCAAGCCTCAGTAAAGAGACTTTATATTTATATACAATGTAATGCTCTGTATACATCAGGCTTTTTGTGAACAAGTATCTGTGCATTACCTATATGGGCATGTGATTATGTCATGTCACATCCATATTTGGGCAAATTGGGCAGTTTGTGTTCACATAATTCATGAAGGTGTTTTAAAGAGCCCTCCCAAATCTTTGCTTGATCATCTTTTCTGCATTGTTTTTCTTCAATTATCTTACATGTATAATTATATGTATTGTTTCTTCAGTGAGGAGGATGATTTGTCATCAACAGGTGATGATGATAATTGGGATTCAGAGGAGGTGAGTGAGTTGAAGGAAATAAGTCCAAGCAAGACGGCAGCTGGTGGGAGCGGGGTAAGGCCTACATCTTCCCAGAGGCAAGACCCCTCCGGACATCAAATCCAGGTAAGGTTTTCCATCATTAGTAACACACAATCTATGTAGCATATTATCTAGATTGGCCTAAATTGGCCCACAAGATCCTTGGGCTATACATTGCATCATGTACACTATATTGATTGATTAATATATTTATTAATTCATTGGTATTACTGATTGATTAATTGAATCTTTAAGCTGTTTTTGTGCAACCTTATATTTCTCTAGAGGGCTGCAATACTTCCATTTGCTATATCCTACCTAAACCATACTTCATATACTGGAGAGAGATAACTTTTTCAAGAATATACATACATAACATCATTTATATAGCGCTATTTTATGAAGATAAGAGCGCTCAAAGCGTGGACTAATAGCTCACAGTAAATTTCTTCTCCCTGGAGGGTGTCTTCGTGCCTGAAGCCTGGTAAACTGGTACCAGCTACTCTCGTCTGTCCACAACAAGGGCTGTATGGACTAGTACGCCAGGGTAACCCCCTACTCTCCTTGAAAGATGTACTGGGTTCTTTATAGTGCACATAAGCCAATTGTGTACACAGAGCCTACCGTTTATAGTCCGTATCTGAGAAGACTTACCTCCAGAACCATAGGCGAGCGTGCTGTTTGAACCAGCTCTGATCACTGTAGGTTGCGGTGCCCCTGCCTTAACCGCCCGGCTGTTCCACTCGCCGAGAACACGGTTAAAATGCCCAAAGTAATTTGAACGTCTGACCTAGGTTGTATACCCCAATCCCTGCACCAACTGCATGATTTGAGACCTCATCAGTAACAGACATTTTAACATGTCATTGCATGTACATGCTAAGTAAAATAATCAGCACTCTACCTTTCATTTTCAAACAGTCTTTGCATACATTCCTTAATAATTCATTTTTCCATCTCATGAATATTCATTATGATTTAGTCACCTGACATGATGATGGAGAGTTTGAGTGATACTGGTGATCAGAGCACAAGCAACTTTGATACAAAAAGTGTAGGTAGTATTTAATTCATCATTCTTATTTTGCAAAATGTATGGCTATCCTAATATACCTGCGTAATTGCAAATAGGTAAGAAATAGATATCTTTTAACCTGTGTTCTGTACAAAAAAAAATGTTTAACTAAATTTTGTAATTAATGCATATTAAGAAAATACATTTTTATTGATTTAACATTTTTGAACAAGTCTTTGTATTTCCTCTATGTGTGTGATTATTAAGCATTGGCTTCCTAATGTATCTGAGAATTCAATAACAGTCTGGTCAGTCATGAGCTAAAACCAAATTTGGGCTAGACCTAAATGTTGGTTTTCAGTTAAATTATGTAATTTAACTGTTCCCTGGTTCACCTAACTGATCCCATTTGCTATTTAAGGAAGCCCTGTCTATTTACAGTATCATCTTAAACCTAAATTAAACTGTGGTCTCAAAGCTTCTAGAGAGCTGAAATTGTTTATCTGATAATTAATCTAATCTACTCTATTGCCTCTCTCATAATCACCATTGTTGGACCTGATTAATCCCCCCCATTTGCATATTGTAGCATTTTTTGTAATCAGTGTCTAAGTTTTCTCATTCCTGAAGATGACCCAATAAAGGTCGAAACCCCTAAATATGGCCTCCATTTCTTTATTCAGAGTAACGTTCTATGTTAAAAGGGCAAGGTTTACTCAGAAAAGTAGTTATGTACCACAGTATTAGCGTGGACATTTGTTTAACCATATCTGTTCCATTGTAATATTTATACTGCATTTTGCCATTAACAATAATAATAAATGAAATATTAACTATTGTCCCTCTGAAGCCCTTGTGTTTGTAAGATGATTTATTGAGTTTAGAATGAAGTGCTGCATATGCAATTAATATTAACTGCTGGTACATACAGTATTTTGTTTATCTGAAAATATGTATCATTGGCAGAAATTAAGTACTAATTTTGTCTTATTGTCGAATCTGGCTGTATCTAGAATTTTCAGTAATTGAATACTATTCTGTATGCAAGTGAGCACATAGAACAGGAGCACAGTGTACCTTTCTGCTAGGCTAGGCCCCACCCCATGTATATAATTGTTACTATATGGTCCCACAAATAGTGCATACCTACGGAAACACATGTGTTTGTAGGTCACATGCATATTCCTTGCATTGTTCTGATTGGTCAGTTGTTGAGTTTAATTGCCCTTTACCCAAGTAAGTTTTCAGCCCGTGATAGGCCAATTGTTCATTGACAGTTGACACCACTTCTTTGAATACAATATACATTTTTTTTCACAAGCTTTCACCCTAATCGATATTGCTTCAGTTATAGTTCATTAGGTGTTACCAACTCATTTATTTATTTATTTATTTATTTAACTACTTTTGATTAATCATAATTTTGTAGTTAGTAGTAATAATATTTATAATACTATTAATAGTACTAATTGCAAATAAAATTTTAAAATAAAGCAAACGATAATATTAATAATAATACATAAGCATGAGCTAAATTGACTCAGAGAAACAGATAGTTAGTTGATTGACTCAGAAAGACAGATAGTTAGATTGATAACCCTACAAATCATCTTTGATATTTCCAATTTCTTCCTGAAGGGTGGACAGAAAGTCAGTGAACTTACCAGAAGTATTGAGTTCCAACTAAGTGGCAGAAAAGGCCACTCAAGACCAGTGGGAGGAGTGGACTTAAGTGGAACAGCTGGATCAGGCCATCTCGCAGCTCCAGCTTACATAAAAGATTCAAGTAGTCGATCACCGTCGCCTCAGATACCAGTAAGTATCATCCTTAATGTCATCATTTTAATTTTTTCTTTTAAACAGTAGTTTTTCGTGAATTATAAACCAAATATGACAATTGTTCCTTATTGCAATAATATGAGGCATCAGTGACCAACACAAGAAAATTGTCTTAATATATTCAAATCCTCCACATTATAAGCTTTAAAATGATGGGTCAATTTTACAGAAATCAACTTAACTATTTGCCAAAGATATGAGTAAATTATTTACAGCTTCTCTGTAGTAAAGTATACAATACTTCCCCATTCCAATGCTGAATTATTCAGTTTAAAATTTAGCGACAGTATGCTGGCTTTGGGATGGCAGCTTCATATAACCTGCTGGGAGAGACGTCAATCAGAAGAAATTGCAAGATTTGAATGATTGATACAAATTCTTGGAGAAAGAAGAATACAAGGGAATCCTTGGATATTTTAAGCTATCCTTTATATTTAAGTTATTTATAAAAGTAGCATAACTAATGTATAGTTTTAGTTTAGGACATGACTGATTGTAAGACTTGTTAAATGTTTACATTTTGTGGAAAGTTAAACTTCAATGAGTAAGAGCAATTTATGATTGTTTGTGTAAAAGTTTTACAAACATTTTTCTTTAAAGTTAAAACAAGTAATTTAGGAGAAACTTAACATTGTTTGTTTGCCCTAAAGTGTCCCCATCTCACTATCTCATAAACTCCATGTTGAATGTGGTCAAATACTTTTTAAAAATATGGATGGAATTTAGAGTGGGGAAAACTGGTTTTCTAATTAAATTTGTACAGAGATAATAATGAGTGATAATGTACTTAAATGCTCAAACAATTTCATTTGTCTTTTCTAATGGATAATTTTGTTAAAGTTTTCTGTTTTACTAAGCCAAAAAAAAACATATATTAAACATATCACTTTAGTTTCTTTCAGCTTTGTTGATCATCTTCATGTGAATGAACTAGCCAAAACTAGTTCATTACGTCACCAGTGTTAAGAGGTCTCTATTCTCCTGTCTTTATTTTGTCCATTTTCTTTTTGATCTTTTTCAGACAATACCTGATAAGTTTGATAGTGATGAGGAAGATAGCTTTGTCATTTCTTCTTTAGAGGAAAGTGAAAGAGCTGTTCCAAAATCCAAGCCACAACCAGCGTATGTACAATAAAATTGTTCATTAAACAATAGTTGGAATTTTCATGGGGTGTAGCATATTGGGAGGGTAGCATGTTTAGGATCTGTTCTCTCTGCTAATTTTTTTGTTTTTAGACCTTAAATAATAATTGTGTGGACCGATTATGGAATATTGGTTAACTTTATATACCCTGGTCATAAGATCATCTATGGAAGACATACATAGCTTGCGAAATCCGCAGAGGTGTGTGTGTACCATACAATATGGCTGCCGTAGATTCAACCAATCATAATACGCTAAGCATGTTTCAATCGCGCCCTCAACTTCAATTCAAAGTTTTGAATACAGCTCTGTGGAAAGTTGAGTGTTGCGATGTAGCGTACATGATTTCAATTTTCATTCCTCAGTACTTTATTTTAATCAGATGCTCCACTTGACTTATTTTTGTCTATGATACTTAATAATTTATTAATATTATTAATAATGATAAATAAAATATATAGTCAGAAGGGTAATTTATGTTTATAATATGTATACTAAGCCTGAAGGTGGCGCTTTCCTACAGCGGCCATATTGGATTGTACACATACACAACCCTGCATTGCTTCACACCTAGTCAGCCCTCTAGTTGTTTAATACTGTAGCTCTGTGTTAAAACCCATTAGAATTTTGGTAAAGTACTTCCCTCAAGGGTACAAGTAAATATGCACAGTGAGGGGTTGGAAGCCTGAATTTTAACCGCTTTGCCACCACTAAGTCAGGCTTTTAGCATAACATATATAAAGACTTATGGGCTTCATATTATTAGGCCTACCCAGTCAATGTATACTTTACTCTCAAGTTGCTTACAGTTAGCTTAATGTTAAAATTACTGATTATGTTTCTACCAATATTTTTTTCCAACATATTTATTCACCTTTCTTTTTAATCCACCCAATCATTTAATTAACAATTTTGTTTCTTTTTACCCCCCTTGTGCTATAGGCCTAGAACAGGAGGGGGTGGAAAAAGAATGACTGGTGACACAGATATTTCTAGCAACACATTTGGTACAAGTGTGTGGGGATCATCTTCAAAAGGTGGGCCTAGAAAGAAGTTCAGAATACTATAGTACTTAGTTACTTAAATAACATTAATTAAAAGAAGAAAAATTATGGTTTCATAAATGTACTAGTTTAATACAGTAGTAGGTTTTGGCCTTATACCTTGTTTAGCAAACTCGCTGCCTGCTAATAATGATGATTTCAAATAAATAAAATTTTATTTGTGGCCAATTAGCGCAAATTTAAGAAAAAAAAAATTTTTTTTTTTAATTTTTATTATGCCCGCCGGCCTTGATATCTCCTCAAAATAAGATGTGTATATTTCTTCCTACTTATATAAATTTAAAGCATTTAACCATCCTATTACTACACTGTTTACAATCACCATTAAGATTTTATTTTTATTTTCTTTTTGATCGGGATGTTTTTGGCAACTGTTTGCCATTTTTTCCCCCTCCTTTGACGATCTTTCAAAAAATAAGTTTGCAAAACAAGGTATACCAAAATTCTTGCCTAAACTACCATGATGTTTTTCTAACAGGGAATACCTTTGCACACTATTTTAAATTGTCTACATCTTATTTTCAGGTGCAGATAAAGGCAGTACACATGGAGAGGCCAGTACTGGCAAAAGTTCATTAGTTTCTGTTACAGATTGGGATGATGACGACGATGATGATGACCTTGGCCTCAGTGACCTTTGAGTGACCTCTGAACCTAGTTCATCTTGTTCTTCATTAATAATTAATAACAAAGGCAATGATTACATAACAGTTTAATTCTAAAATATCTTGATATCACAGCAAGTATATTCATGTTTTTATGAATTAATGAAAAATACCTTTTATAATTTATAATATTTATAATACCATAATACTCTACAATTTTGTATTTTTTCAATTCAAACAGTGAGTACATTTGTTCGATGATTACTTTGCATACTGTGTATTTATTTTTAATGTACATGATTAATTCTATTAAAAAAAAATTTTGTTTTCTTGTAGGACCGTCCAACTTATAATTATCCATTCATCCATTTAAACTCACTGTTTACAATCAAAACATACGGATGATATTATATACACATTTCATATGCTCTTTCTTTTTTATATATATATATATATAAAATTTGTCCACCAACTGACCATATAACATTCATCGAAACGATGAGTCGATCAATTAAACCATTAATTGTTTTATTTTATTAAAAAATCAATTGTACAGGGACAAGAGTAATTTGCAAAGATTAAGAACAATTCGTTTTGAGATTCCATTTATTTTTTCATTGTGTGCTAAGAAGGTCTCTGTGTTTATGGTTCAGTGGAATATTCCTCTGGGTGTCAATCAATCTTAACTGACCAATCATACTGTTTTATTCGAATTTTCTGGGAATACATGCATGTCCTACAAGTTTTTTGTTTACGACCGCACATGTTCCTCTCGGAATAACTGTCATTTTGTGGGCCTTACAATATCAAAGGGTGAGCCTTAGCGTAGAAGCCATTCCATATTCACCTTGCTTGTCAGCTGAAGAGCTGAAATAATTATAAGTTAGCAATACCGCCCTTGAGCATGTTAAGTACCTTTGTACAAATGTAAGACTGGATGTTCAGTTGATTATGTCATTAACAGTTATTCAAAAGATTGTCACACGAGAATAAATATTATTATTTTTATTATTATGATAATTATTGTTATTTCAACTATTGTTCATGACATAGGTGGTCATAAAAAATGGTCAAAGGGCCAAAGTACATTTTTGAATGAAAACTGAGGGCCACACAGAAATCAGGTTTTTATTGTCAAATTTGACATTTCCAATGTGGCTTTAACTTTGTAGCTTTCAGACAAATATGTTGTATTGTTAATATATTACTGGTGTACTTTTTTAAAAATACAGTAAGTATTTTTACTGATGATCAGTGGCAGGCCATAAAAACTGGCCGCAGCAAAATCGATGTGTGGCCACACTTTGACCATGGTTTATGACTGTCTCTTATACACATCTAGATGTGTATAAGAGACAGATCTTTGATTGTACACATACACAACCCTGCATTGCTTCACACATAGTCAGCCCTCTAGTTGTTTAATACTGTAGCTCTGTGTTAAAACCCATTAGAATTTTGGTAAAGTACTTCCCTCAAGGGTACAAGTAAAAATGCACAGTGAGGAGCTCATGCCTCGGGGTTGGAAGCCTGAATTTTAACCGCTTTGCCACCACTAAGTCAGGCTTTTAGCATAACATATATAAAGACTTATGGGCTTCATATTATCGGGGGGGGGGGGGGGGGGGGGGGAGATCACTTGTACCATCAGATTTAAAAAGATCAGAAGCAAACTTACAACAGTGACAGTGACAAACCCTCCTATCAAGTAGGGAGTCAAGTTCACAAGATATTAAAGCATTCTCATAAGAAGTATAATTATTTTTCCCTAGTATAATTCTACATGCTCTATTTTGTACACTCTCAATTGTATTGCTTTGTTTGACAGAGAGACCAGAGTGCCAAACTGAGTCAGCATATTCCGTAAGTCTAATGTGACCAGTGTAAAACAACTTTGAGTTCATCAGAATTAAAACCAAAACTTTTCAAAGATCTTAATATAAATAATCTTCTATTTGCCCTAAAACAATGGTTTCAACCTGGGTTATTCCATTTAAGATCATTTTGCAACTGCTCCATGCTATAAAGTAACAATGCCTGTCAAGTTGCAATCTGATCAGTCTTTAATTGTGAAGATGTTTGCAAATATACGATACTATATAGCAGGGAACAGTTAAATTACTGTAATTTAACTGTTCCCTATAAAGTAACAATGCCTATCAAGTGGCAATCTGATAAGTTTTTAGTTGTGAAGATGTTTTTGAGTGATACAAAAACTTGTAAAATATATACTTACCGGCAAAATGATTATAAACGTTACATATGTTACTGGTAGTGTCACTGTTGTTGTTATGTCTGTTTTCTCGCATTTTATCTAAGCAGCTGTTAGTATTGTTACCAATATTACCATAGACTCTTATTACTATATCGTTTTGTTATTAATCTTGAGCAATATCATGTTTGCTTAATTACGCCCGACCAGACAATGTCTCACATCAATGTAAGTTTTCTTAGGGAACGTTAAAGATGTATTGTCCTTTGAAAATGAAAATTGTTTATGTTCTTTCAAAAATTAGTTAATTTCAAAAATGATTTTATGTTTTTTATGTGTATTTGGCATGGGACAATTATACATCCTTAATTTTGTTTTTCTTTAAAACATAGGCTACCTCACATAGGCCTAGTAGCACTTTTGTTCATTGGCAGTCATCAATTGAAAGGAAATACAGTATTGTAAAATTTTCGAATCTTGTCAAGAAAGGTTTAGGCCTGCTTTTCATAAAGCTGCTTAACATTTACAGAATAAGATAGGCCTACACTATATTCGCGACGTAGGCGCTTCCAGAGCTGAGAGCACAGAAATCAGTGGCGGAGCTCAGTTGGAACCCCCCCCCCCCACCCCCCCCCCCCCCCCCCCACCACCACATTTTGTTTTAAATTGTAAAAAATAGGAAAAAAAGTTAGACTTATTTCCTACAATCGTCGTTATCCATTTTTTCGTGTTTTTTGCAATTGTTTCTTTCCGACTTAATTGGTTTTGTCTGTTCTTACTTCTGGCATCATACAGCTGTAGACCTACATCGAATCCTTATACAGTTCTTGAAGTACAGATACAAGAAAATTTGTCTTCTATTTCGAAAATGGCAAAGAAATTTAGTCATACAAGAGATTCATAAACAAATTCAGAACGATCTAGTTTAAAAGATAATGAGCACAAAACAATACAGTCATGATATATTTTGTTAAAATATTTGTTTTTATGGTAACCATTCAATGAATGAATTTGTGTTCTTTTAAATGATGATGATACTGAGCTAGAAGTATAGATATCTATAACCAACACAAATATTTATACACTATCACTTCTGCATCATAATCTATTTTACGTACTTTCTTCCACTTTCAATATGGCTAATTTAAAGCAATACAACATGAAACATCAAAATCACATACAAATTATTACACAATGAAAAACTTTCTATTTTGTTTCTGTACGTAATTTTTGATTCTACGGAAAGGAGAAAAATAATAGGCCTAGTAATTACTAAACTTTAATTTCCTTATCAAACTCGTTTGAATTTAATCATTGCGAAGATAACTATTATGAGGCGCCAAGTGTAAATTTATTATTTAACACAATTATTTATATACACTTCATTATTTAACATATAATTGAATAGATCACCCATTATTTATATATAATGCATTTACGTCTAGAACATTATATGTAAATAATTGCGTTAACGTTTTCATTATTTATATATAATTAGTTTACTGACTTATTATATATAAATAATGAAAGAAAGTATAATACATACTCCAAGTATTGAAATACACGCCATCGTGTTGGGATTCAATATTTCGACATTAGTTATGTCATCATCAGGAATGAATATTGAATCCCAACACGATGGCGTGTATTTCAATACTTGGAGTATGTATTATACTTTCTTATTTGAGATTAATCAGTGGACCTTTCGGTTTAAATAATGAAAGGGTAACCAAATAATATTTATATATAATAAGGTTACTGGTTTCATTATATACAGTATAAATAAGGAAAGGGTAACACATCATTATATATAAATAATAAAAAGTAAATTACAATTATTTATATATAAGTTCACTGATTTCGTTATATGTAAATAATAAGAGGTAACAAATCATTATATATAAATAATGAAAAGTGACTTACAACTATTTATATATAAGTTCACTGATTTCATTATATATAAATAACGAATTTACTTCAAACTCATATAAATATTTGCTTTTACATTTTATTATATATAATTAAATAATAGCTGTCGCAAAACCATTATAATGTACATATAATGCTTGAACTTCAAACTCATTATAAGTAATGCACATGTGTTATCGTGTCAAGGTCATTATATCTAAATAATGGTTTCTACTTCCAATTATATATATAAAAAAAACCCGTTGAGGTCGAGTGACATTATGTGTAAATAATTACATAATGATAGTACTAGAAAATATTAAACCTAATTTATTAATTGCATTACAGACGACATTATCATTTTCAAGTATACCCTGTAATCCTAAAACATATTGGAATGCCTCACAGTTTTAATTTAACATGATCAAAATTTAATAACACTATCAGATCGTGAAGAATGATCTTTAAGTCTGGTTATTAAGCACCTATCTGTCTTACCAATATAATCACTATTACAGCCTGGACATTTAAAATGATAGACAACAGAACTTCTGTACTCCTTAGGGGTTTGATCCTTAGTAGATATAAAATGAGAAACATTTTTATACTGCCATAAAGTTATGAATTTTACCTCTTTAATTAAGTGTTTCTTTACCTTATTTAAACATTACGTAAAATTAACTCACCTAGTTTTCCTAGATAAGGCAATCTAACCCAAATCTTAATCAAGCTATCATCATAGGCCTATGTATACATTTAAGTTCATTTAATTTCTTAAGTACATATTAACAACTTTTAAAGGGTACCCATTCCAAGACAAACTTCCTGATGCTACTAAGCTCTGCTTGAAGTTTATCAGTACACAATCTGTGGGAGTCTAGAAACTATACTACGAATCCAGGAGATCTTATGGTTCCATGGAGCAAGCTATCATAATGGACATATTGACCTGTATGTGTATTTTTACGATATATACTCATTCTTTCTACACTGTTGTTAAATTGTAAATCTAGAAAATGTACTGTGTCACTGTTTTCAAA